AGAGAAGCTGCCCGAGTTTTCAAGGGGAGCGTGTTGGCCCAGAGGAGGCTATGACTGAGTGTTAAGGAGAAAACCATGGGCAAATAGAAAGGGAGAAGACAAGACAGGCTTGGGCAGGGAGACATGGCGTGAGTTTTGGGGGACACTTAGGAGGAGGCTCCCTAATGTTGACACCAAACCTCTGTTTCAGGGTCCTAAGTGACAATACCAGGGATATGGGGAAGATGAGGCTCCTTCCCATCTGACTTCTACCTGGGCCTCACTGGGCCCCCAAGGTCATGTTTGTTTTCTTATGTCTTTGAGGTGGCTTCTAGTTGCCACCGTCAGCTGTGAGCCCTCACAGTGGGCCCAGCTCCCATAGACTTCCTCTGAAGGAAGATGCCATGGGGCCCAGTAGCCCAAGTCTGTATCACAGTATTGGTCCAGCAAATCTCGCTCAGAGAACACCATATACTTACCATAATATTGTTGACTAAAGGGTTAAACTAAGGAGGTGGGGTATCTCAAGATGCCCTCCCTGCCCAGAATCCGGAGTCTCTGCCAACAGGGCCCCCACCCCCACCCAAGCTGTATCCTCACTGCCATTGCCCTGAGCTAGGACTCCAACAGAAGACTCCATCTTTGTACAGCAGATACAGAGATGCAGCCCGTGTTGTTCGCATGGGCGGCTCAAGCACCGGCCGTCCACCGAGCTGCAGACTCAGACAGGCATATCAGGGTGAGTGGTGCTGAGCCAGAACAGAATCGGGGATTTCAGGGGTATTCATGGCTATATCTCCCTGGATTTGCCTAATCTCATCAGAGGAGTAAGAGATAACCAGAACCAAGACATGCAGGGAGCTTCTCATCACAGGAGGTGGCGTGTGAGACCAGAGCCACAGCGAGCCAGCGAGCCAGCGAGCTAGCGAGCCTGGCAGCTCCAGAGGAGCCACAAACCCATTGTGTTCCACGTGCACGTACCCAGGATTAACTCCAGGCTCTGCCTCGAACCAGCTTGGCTCTCAGCTGCTGGCTTCCTTCCCGCAGGTGGTACGAGAGTTCTCCTTTCCAGCCACAGTTGTTACCCTCCAGCCTCTTCTAGTAACCACCACAGTTCACAGCCTACCCCTTCTCACTCTCCAGGACCTCCAGCACCCTAGGAGACACCCCACACCCTTTAAACATCCTAGACAGGAGCAAGGCAAGAACCAGATTGTGTGCCTTGCTGGATGGCAGGGAGGGCCTGGAGCCAGGGCACTGAAGACTTGAGCCAGCACTAAAGCATCAGGAGACTTGGGTTGCAAGATGGAGTCGCTGGCTGCTGACTGCTAATATCCTTCTGACACTCAGGTAGGTCTCCGGACACCAGGGCAGCTAGAAGTGGCCCCCAGTGACCCTACAGGGAGGGGACAATGTGGCAACCCCAGGACTGACAGAGGATCTGGCTCCAGGGAGTCTCCTCCTGCCCATTTCTCCTCTGGGCCAGAGCAGGTGGTCTGAGGCCAGAAGAGGCAGCCCAGCTGGCTTCCTGGGCAGCCAAGATCACCAGCAAGGACACTGTTTGTTTTCCTCCCAGAATGCCCAAGCTGGTTACCACTTGCCGCTGCGGTTGCCTGGGGAACTCTTGCTATTTTCATGCAGGCTCCGGATGATGAGCTGTGGAAACACTCTGGCGAGGTTGGTCGGGGACGTGATACCCAAGTAGGCTCTGCCAGAGAGAAGAGCTTGGCACGAAGAGAGGAGGCTCGGCATTCACACACAGAGCGTGGTGGAGAGGGTGGCTGGGGAAGGCTGTGCCCAGAGAGAGAACCAGCTCATTCATTCCCACATGTTTACCTTCCCTTCTGTTCATAGCATCAAACACTCAGGGTTCTGGGCTTTGTGCTAGGTGGTATGGATATGGCAAACCAAGTGAGGGTGTCCAGCCCCGTGAGAAGCTGGAAACATAAAATACAGCTTCAGTTCAGCAGGTTCTGTGCCACCACAGGGCCGTACCAGGGTCTGAGAGGCTTCCCTGAAGACGTATCTAAGAGGATATAGGGTTTTGCAGCCAGTGTGGACAACGGGGGCAGCATGTGTATGGGTTCAGAAGAGACGAGTGCAGCGCTTGCAGAGTGTACATTCAGTCCTGGGCAAAGTGGGAGCCAGACCAGAACCAGCAGCAGGGAGGCTTTGGGGAGAAGTGTGCTGGGGCCACTGAAACTGTTGACCAAGGTTTCTGTCCCACCCAGTGCCACAGTCGTTCAGTCCCAAAGAAACAACACAGAGGTCTACATAAACTGGTTGGCCTATTAGCTCAGGGTTCTTATTAACTCTTTCTTACATTGTACATTATCCATTATTCTTGTCTGTGCTAACCACGTGGCTTGGTCCCTAATATCAGTGAAGAGGCTCTCTCATCTTGTTTTCTCTGTGGCTGGGTGACAACTGCAGACTGACTCTTTCCTCTTCCCAGAATTCTCCTGTTCTTGTCACCCCACCTATACTTCCTGCCTGGCTTCTGGCCAATCAGCGTTTTATTAAAATACAATTGACAGGGTACAGGGGGCTGGAGAGATGGCTCAGTGGTTAAGAGCATTGCCTGCCCTTCCAAAGGTCCTGAGTTCAATTCCCGGCAACCACATGGTGGCTCACAACCATCTGTAATGAGGTCTGGTGCCCTCTTCTGGGCTGCAGACATACACACAGACAGAATATTGTATACATAAGAAAGAAAGAGAGAGAGAGAGAAAGAGAGAGAGAGAGAAAACAATTGACAGGGTACAGACCGTTGTCCCACAGCATGAAACATTGGGATGAGGCCCCAGGTAACAAAAATGTATCCCAGGCCATTCTCTGGAGAGAGGCCAGTTTCCCCACTGCCCATGGGATGCTGGGAGGCTCCACAGAGCATCCAAGAGCCCTGAAGCTGCAGAGTCCTCCACCAGGAGAGCCAGGCTCGGGCTCGGGCTCAAGCTGGCACTTGCTGCCCATCTGCACTTCCTCCAAATCCCAATCTGCTGCCCCAACACTGGGCATGTGCGTAAATGCCTTCTGCCTGCCCGTGGCCATACCCCTGCTGGAAGATGCCTGCTGGCCCGGAAGGTGGGGCTGACATGCAACAGAAAGGGGACAAGTGTGGAGAAATGCAGCCCTCACAGATGTCAGGAGCCAGCTGGGCACAACACACATCCGCCTCCCCCTAGTCCCCAGCCAACCTTGTAGCTGTTTTTGCCCTCGTCATACACAGTAAGAAACCAAAGCTCCGAGATGCTAACTAGCCCCTCCAGAGCTAAAGCGATGAAGTCAGGATTCAAACACACGTGTGACTCTGAAACCCATCCCTAAAGTCAGGATTCAAATGCACGCGTTCTCTCTGCGGTGTGGTCCGGGCAGGCTTCCTGAGCACAGGTTAACACTTCCCAGGCTATGCTCTAGGGGTCCTGAGTCCTCCTGGGGCTCCAGACAGTCCTCGGCTTAATTTCAAAATTCTCTCAGAGGCAGATTTTAATTTCTAGCTTTGTACACACACACACACACACACACACACACACACACACACACACACACACACACGGGACTCAGGCTGACCTTGAACCTACCACACAGTCAGGACAATCTGGAATTCTGATCTCCTACCTCTGCTGCCTGAGGGTCACAGGTGTCTGTCACCACACATGTTATTTTGTGCTGGGGCTGGAATCCAGAGCCTTGTGCATACTAGGCAGTCTGTCAAGTGAGCCACATCCCAGCCTCTTTCTGTTTATTCTCGATTGTTTGTTTGAAGTGTGTGGATATTTTGTCTGCATGTAAGTATGTGCACCATGTGTATCATGTGTATGATTGATGTCACATGAAGGCTAGAGGAGGGCACCCGTTCCCTAGGACTGGAGTTACAGATGGTTGTGAGCCACCATGTGGGTGCTAGGAATTGTAGCAAGTCCTCTGGAAGAGCAGGCAGTGCTCCAGAGCCATCTCTCCAACCCATACATTTTTTTAGAGGTTTATTTTTATTTCTAGTTGTGTGTATGTGGAGAGGGCCGCAGGTGGATGTGAGCACAGGTGTCCAGGGAAGTCACAGTCATTTGGTCCCCTGGAACTGGAGTTGCAGGTGGTTGTGAACTCTCAACTCTACAAGAGTAGCACCTGCTCTCAACTGCTGAGCCATCTCTCCAGGACTGTTTCTTTTAATAAACAACAAAGGTTACGCTGGGCATGTTGGGACAGCCTTTCATCTAAGAGGCAGAGGAAGGGTGATCTCTTGTGAGTTGGAGGCCAGCCTGGTCTACATAGTGATACCCTACCTCAAGAAAAGAAAAGAAAGATAAATAACAAAGGTTTATTTGAAGACATTTCCTGCTACTACAGGATCTGCAGGTTCAGGTGGACACAGCATTTTTCAGCCTCAGAATGACTGCCATTTGGGCCCTGTAATTCTCTCTGCAGGTACAGTAGCTCCCTGCAGTGCTCCGATCCCAGATGATGGTGCCCGTGTCACCAGCAGGGACAATACTCCTGGGGCCTGATAGTCAGTGTGAGGTGTGGTTGTCAGCACTCTTGAATGACCCCTGGCCAGGCTCTGCCATGCTGGACTCCAGATGCCTTACCACAGCCTTTGACCATGGCCAGGTCCCACAGTCACTCATTTCCCATCAACCCTCCCACTGTTCTGCTTTGTGCCCACTGCTGCGTCCATGGTCCTCACCTCCCGGCCTCTTGGCAGGCAGACAAGGACGGCAGGACCAGGAGAGGAACCCCACGCCTAAGCCCTGCAAGCTGGGCATATGAAGTGCAGAGACAGAATTCTTTTGCAGCAATGGTGTGTTTATTTACTCTTAGCCTTACTACAAAGTACACGCGTTTGTGGCACAGAACATGGGGAACACAGAACTGAATGAAGACACAGAGCCTGTCCCTTACAGCCCCACTGCCCAGAGAGCAATGCTGAGCTGAAGTTCCAGTGAGGAGTAGCACCGTGGATGCTGTGCAGGCAAAGACACCCAGGCAGGCACAGCCCCAACCAAGGACATCACAAAGCAGTCTCCCAGTTAACATCAGCTTTATTCAAATGCAGGGCACCCAGAGGCTTCCCCAAATGTGTTCCATGGGACTTTTAATCCCGTCCCCCCACCTACCCTAGAACAGCCCTTTGCAGCTAGACATCAGAACTCATCCTTTATGTCAAAATGGGGCTGGTCTTCAGGCTTGAAGTCCAGGTTGGGGCTGCCGTCCTCATTGAGGATGCGGCGTGCTGTGTAGCCAACAATGGGGTATTTGGCCTTGTACACCCTGGTGAAGACGTCGTCTAGGGCCTCCAGTTCCTTGGCTGTGAGACCCGTCTGGGGGAAAGAAATGGGAGAGGGATGTGAGCAAATTGCATTTGGCCACAGTGTATCTGACACTGCCCTCTCTCTGCCCTGCCTTACAAGCCCCAAGCCCCAAATGCAAGAGGAAAACACACTTAAAAAAAAAAAAACTTTTTAGGAGCGAGCAAGAACACAGCCCTCACTATCAGATTCTGTAGTTGTGTTTCTTATATTTGGGGAATTGCTGGGGTCTGCACATCTGTGCTGCAGCGAATGAGGCTCACCCTAGAAACCACCTTTGTGTTCACGGTGCCCCCGCTTGCCAGAAATATGTGGAAAAACCATCTTAGATCAAGTAATGGACAATGGACTTTTAAAGTATTTGTGCAGAGGGTAAGTGAGCGTGTTTACAGGATGGGGGTACAGCATGTGTGTGCAGGGGTGAACACAACATGTGTATGCAGGTGAGTGCAGCATGTGTGCAGGAGTGAATGCAACATATATGTGTGTGCAGGGGTGAGTGCAGCATGTGTGTGCAAGTTGTGAACAGAGTGTGTACAGGGTGTAGATGCAAAGTGTTTGTACAGAGGTGGAGTACCGGGTGTGTGTGCAGGGGCAGGGGAGCAATGGCTTCATCAGTTTTGCCTATCAGCTGACAGAGGAATTATCACCCACAGGACACCCAGTCTTGGGTGGGTGGCTCTATAACCGGTGTCTATCTCTGAACTATTACACATTTGAGTACTCCGTCTGCTGTAGTTTGGATGGGGAGTGTCACTTTATGAAAGGTCCCCTCAATGGTTTGGTCTCCAGGGTGGAGCTGGGAGGTGATGGAGCCTTTAAGGGGTGGGGCCTAGCGAGTGGTGCATGCATTGAGAGTTTGCCCTCCACAGGAATTGTGGGACACTGGCCACTTACCCGTTCTCTTCTGCTTCCTCTGCCACATGCCCTAGCCGTGACGTGGCTATAACCAGCCCCATTTTAATGCTGTTTGCTTCTACACAAAGCACGAGTGTGGAGGGTACCCTGTTTATCCCCAGTTACAGCAGCTCTGAGACTGGGACTGGAAGGTGGGGTATAGATGAGGTGCAGATCACAGGGTACTGAGCTGCTGGGCAGGCTGGGGACAAGCAGTGAAGTCTGCCAGGTTGGACAACGAGTCCACACAGAGTTTGGACCTAAGTCTGTAAGCGGAGGCTCTGAAGTAGGGGTGACCCAGGAAGACGATGAATTTTAAGGAAGTGGCCACCATGCAACATAGGCTAGTTAATGGGCTTATTAGGAAGTTTTGGGGGCTAAGGGTCTTGTCCAGCGGCAGACCACTTGCCTTACATATGGGGGGCCTGAGTTCAAATCCAAAGAAATAAAACAACTTTGTTGGAGAGATGACTCAGCAGTGGTTAAGAGCATTGTCTGTTCATCCAGAGGCCCCGGGTTCAATTCCCAGCACCCACAGGGCAGCTCACAGCTGTCTGCTCCAGTTCCAGGGGGTCTGACTCCCTCACACAGACATGCATGCAGGAAAACACCAATACACAGAAAATATAAGTAAACACATTTTAGAAAATTAGCTGGGCTTAGTGGTGTCAATCTTTAATCTCAGCCGTTGGGAGGCAGAGGCAGTCTGGTGAGCTTGAGGCCAGCCTGGTCTACATAGAGAGTTGCAGCCTAGACGGGGCTACACAGTGAGACCCCATCTCAAGAAAACAACAAACAAAGGCCAAGAACGAAGCACACGGCATGGGAGCAGAGCAGAGCATTCTGGCAAGCGCTCATCAGCTCATCAGCTTACAGTATCGTGAGTGAGGTCCGCAGGATCCAGTGACATCTTGGCCACTCCTCTGGTGGAGTCTTTCCCGGTCAAGGCATTGTAGGGGGCTCCTCGCCCATAAAACTCTGCAGAGGGAGCAGAGGGGGAGAGAGTGGGTGCATGGAGAGCAGCCAGGAGCTACTTGGGAGTTCTCCAGACCCCTCCCCCCATCCTCAGAAAAGGCTGTAGTACTGAGAAGGAACACAGCAGGGCAGATGGAAGGCCCGAGTCCACATGGTGCTCCACCAATCCAGAACGGTGCTCCACCAACCCAGAATGGTGCTCCACCAATCTACAACTGTGCTCTACCAATCCAGAACGGTGCTCCACCAACCCAGAATGGTGCTCCACCAATCTACAACTGTGCTCTACCAATCCAGAACGGTGCTCCACCAATCCAGAATGGTGCTCCACCAATCTACAACTGTGCTCTACCAATCCAGAACAGTGTTCCACCAACCCAGAATGGTGCTTCACCAATCCAGAATGGTGCTCCACTAATATATAATGGTGTTCCACCAATCCAGACCTGTGCTCCACCAATCCAGAATGGTGCTCCACCAATCCAGAACATGAGGGAGACATACCACGACTGAGCGGTGGTTTGTAGAAAACACACAATGCAGTCTCTTTGAAAGTTAAAGTGCAAGTCACACCTAATGATGCAGGCCTGCAATCACAGCTAGGAAGGAGGCTGACGCAGGAGGATTGCATGTTCAAGGCTAGCCTGCACCCACCCCAGAGTTTTAAAAAGGAGGGGGAGGTATGATGTGTGGCTCAATGGTAGACTGCTTGCCTACTGATCTACCTTTATTGTTCTTAAAGTATGACAAAGTATGACTTTATCGTACATAAAGTCCTGGGTTCAATCCTGTGTGTGTGTATGTATGTGTGTGGCATGTATGTTGTGTATATGGTGTGTGCATATGGTGTGTTTGTCTCTATGTATGTATGTATGTATATCTGTCTGTCTGTCTATCTATCTCTGTGTGTATCTCTGTATGGAGATGTATATACAAATACAGACAAGAAGAACCTCTGGTTTCAAACGCCTCAGGAAGCCAAGTCTCCTACTATGTGAATTTACAGGATGAGTCATGAAACCCACCTCCTGGGGCTGGAGAGAGGGCTCAGTGGTTAAGAGCCCTCTCAGATTCACCCACATGATGGCTCACAACTACCTGTGACTCCAGTTCCAGGGGATCCAATGTCCTCTTCTGGCTTCTGTGAGCACTGTATGCACATGCTACACAGACACACATGCAGGCAAAGCACCCATATGCAAAATAAAAATTTTTAAAAATTATTTAAAAACCAAACACTTTCTGGTGCTATGTCGATAGACTCGGGGAAGCACTGTTTGATCGCCTTCTAGAACAGCAAGTCTCAGCTAAGGGGCACTTTTCTGCCTCCAGCTGGAGTGCTCATAGGTTTGAACTGGATTCCACAGCCCTCCAAACAGGAACTGGTATGGTCAGGAAGTACTAAGTAGATAAGACCTCTTTTGGTGAAACACTGTTGGGTTAGCTCCATCAGGGTCTTTCAGAGGGAAGGGAAAGGCCTTGCCTGACGCGACCCCTTGCCTCGTTCCTCCAGGCACCTGCTCCAGCCCTGTGTTCCCCAGAAAGAAAAAGCCACTTACCCTTTCCAGAGCTGACATCAAACACCACTCCCTTCACCGCCAAGTAGATGGGCTGATCCTCCTGGAAAGCAGGGGAGAGGCGTGAGGGGAAGGGGGAGAAACACTGACTCTCTACACAGGTAGCTAGGACTGCTTGCCACAAGCTAGGTTAGGAACGGTGGTGAGCTGCTAGGCTTGGCCCTGGCAGGCTCACCACCTCTCAGACAATGTCAAACCCATTCACCAAAGCTCGGGAAGTCATAAAGTGCCATGAGGTGTGGCAATGCCCTCCTGCAAAACAGTCAGGGGTTGAAGCAGACAAGCAAACCAGGCATGGTAGTGCACCATAATCTCAGCATTCAGGAAGCAGAGGCAGGAGGATTAGAAGTTCAACTTTAGTTTCAGCTACTTAGCAAATTTGAGGCAGACCTAAGCTATGTGAGACCCTAGCTCAAATAGGACACAAATCAAAAGAATATGAAATGCTGGACGATTTCAGTCAGAACATGACCCTGTCACCAATGGACACATGTGGGTTTAAGCGTGCCAGTGACACACTTTTTGTTTTGATTCTTAAAAAAAAAAGATTTATTTGAGCCTGGAGAGATGATGATGATGCGTGTGTGTATATGTATCTCACTTGGTGGCTACAGCTAGAAAAGGCGGCAGGTCTTCACAGCACCGGCCTGTCACGTAACTGCTTCCTATAGGCTGCTTTTCTGTTGCTGTGGCAATACCATGTATTAGTTTATCTGGGCTGATGGCTCCAGAGGGGTCGTATTGCAGTTTTAGGTAGCCTGGCTTCCCCATAGTCAGGCCACCTTTCCTCCAGGGCTGAGTTGTCCCATTGCAGCTCTACCCCCCCCCCCCAAAGCTGACCTATTGTGATTCTAAGTACATCCCGGCTTCCCGCTAAGTCAGGATATCCCAGTACCACTACTGTACCACATTCCCCTATGGAGGAAGACATGGCCTTCTTCCGCATGTGGGAAGCAACATAGGAATGCCTTTACCAGTTCTTGCTTTGGTCAGAATTTACAAAGGGATTGAACATCATTTTGGTGGCTGCCACTCAAGAGAGATGACCACAAAATGGAAGAGCCTAATCTAAGTTTTAAGATTTGTAAACTCAGGGCTGGAGAGATGGCTCAGTGGTTAAGAGCATTGCCTGCTCTTCCAAAGGTCCTGAGTTCAATTCCCAGCAACCACATGGTGGCTCACAACCATCTGTAAAAGAGGTCTGGCGCCCTCTTCTGGCCTTCAGGCATACAGACAGAATATTGTATACATAATAAATAAATAAATATAAAAAAAAAAAAGATAATAAAAGATTTGTAAACCCAAGAAGAATCAGATAACCAAGAAGGAAGACTGGTGTTTTCCTAATGGAAATGTATTTTAAATGTAATTCCAGCTAGGTGTGGGCATGCACACCTTAAATCCCTGCATCCAAGAGGCAGAGGCAGGTGATCTCTGTGAGTTTGAGACTAGCCTGGTCTACATAGTGAGTTCCTGGCCAGCCATGGAACTGGCTAGTTTTATGTCAACTTGACATAAGCTAAGGACATTTTGGAGGAGGAATCCTCAACTGAACAATATCTACATAAGACTGGCCTATAGGCTGGCTAGTGGTTCATTTTCTTGATTGATGTGGGAGGGCCCAGCTCACTATGGCAGATCCTGGGGGTATAAGAAAGCAGGCTGAACAAGCTGTAAGGAGCAACCCAGTAAGCCGCACCCCTCACCCCTCCACGACTTTTGCTTCCATTCTTGCCCTCAGGTTACTGCTCTGCTTGAGTTCCTACCCTGACCTCCTTCAGTGAATGGAGTGTGACCTGGAAGTGTGAGAGGAAATGAACCCTTCCCTCCCGAGCCATTGTGTTGCATCGTGGCAAGAGAAACCCTAAAAGGCAGGACCAGATAGTGAGACCTTGTCTCAAAAACTAGAACAATGGAAATTAATTCCAAAATTGCTCACAGGGACTATGACTTTAAAGCTGGAAGGAGTCTAGAAGTTGCTCAAACATGTTCTTTATGGTTGAGACTGTTAGTTGTGCGTGTCGTCTGTGTGTATGTGTGTGTGTGTGTGTGTGTGTGTGTGTGTGTGTGTGTGTGAGAGAGAGAGAGAACACGAGAGCTCTCTAGGCTAGCCCTGAACCCAGTTCTCCTGAATGTCTCCTGAGGGTTGGGATTCCAGGCTTGCCCCCACCACACCCTGCTGAGTGAGGCCGTTTGGTTCCAAGGATAAGATATGATAAGGAGGAGGGACTCAGAAGGAAAGGCAGGACCACACGGGGAGATTTGGAACACAAGGTTCCTCCTGCCCTCTCTCGATGCCCACCAGAGGGCATCCTTAGCCCAGAGAGAACTTGCCTAGATGTAGGGGGACAGTGAGTAGGGACCCAAAGTTGCTCAAGAGCCAGGGCTCCAGGAAAACATGCCTGGCAGGAAGGGACGGGAGCTTTCACTGCCCTTCACCTGAGACGTGCGGTGGCCTCACCATCTGGCATTTCTGGCTGTCTCTGGCCAATAGCAAGTGCCTCAAGGGCCATGGAAGCATTGGGCAGAAAGGAAGTGAGTGGACTGTGGGCACAGCTGGTCAGAGTACCCACACCTCATCATCCTCTGGGCCCAGGTGAGGGGTGAGCCAGACCAGCTCCTCAGCACCCCTCTTTAGAGGGAACCTGCTGTGTAGGGTTTTTTTTTTTTTTTTCCCAACAGACTAAAGGGGATAGAAGAAAGTAATAGAAAGTGGAAGAAAACACAAGTGCCTGGTCTGAGGTTGCTCTACGTCAGGTGGCTCTACATATAGGAAATCATCATAGTTAATCTGGGTGGGTGTGACCTGCTCCAGCCCACGGAAAGGTCACGAGGTTCCCTGAGGAAAAGGGAACTCTCCCTAGCAGGTGGCGCCTGCCTGAGATCAATGTGAGTTCTTCGGCCACCCTGGTCTGCATAGTGGATCCAGGACAGCCAGAACTATATAGTAAGATCCTGTCTCAACAAACCCTTCCAGGAAGAAAGGAAGGAAGGAAAGAAGGAAGGAAGGAAGGAAGGGAGGGAGGGAGGGAGGGAGGGAGGGAGGAAGGAAGGGAGGGAGGGAGGGAGGAAGGACACAAGGAAGGAAGGGAGGAAGGAAAGAAGAAAGGAAGGGAGGGAGGGAGGGAGGAAGGACCTGCTGGAGAATTCCAGCCTCCTTCAGTTCAGCTGTCTGATTAGCCAGCCCCACCATCTGAAACCGTTGTAATAATACCTCCCCTCCTCCTCTCCAATGCCAGTACCATTCATTTGAAAATATGGCAGCTGTGAGGCTTAGTGACTTGGCTTAAATCACAAGCCCAGGTACCAGTAAAGGTTTAAGTTTCAGCATGACCAAATAACAAACCATGATGCTACTGGAGGTGGTGGGTGTGGCTACTGGTAATTCCTCAGGACCCATAGCATAGACCAGAGCCATTTCTGGCACCGCACAGCTCTGCTAACTACCCAGGGCACTCCTCTGCCTCTGCTCCCAGCAACTCCTTCCCTGGCTCCTCCCACCTCATGCTATGGCTCTCCACCCTTAAGTCTAGCTCCACATATGATTAATATGAAAACTAGGGTCTTAGTCCTTGTCCTGTAGTCTCTAGGTGTGCCCTTCCTTGGAATGTGTGCTGGGGGGGGGTCAAGAACCCCCATATATGGATGAATGCAAACTCTATAGAGGGCAGTTCACAGATATTAAAGACGAATCCACTCCTGGGTTCTTTACGCTATCTCTTCCCCTTGAATATACCCTTTCCCTGGCAGCAAACGACCAAGAGCCAGTCATCTGCGCACTAGAAACCCTGGCTTCTTCCCCAGCTACACTAGGTGCGCCCATGCATGGTGCTCCTATGAATGATGCTCCTATGCATGGGTGCTCCATGTAAATCCCACTGGACACCCCATGCAAGTCGTGGGGCATCCCCGTCGGATAGGGAGGAATACAACTCCTTGCTAAGTGTTCTCTGCACGTGTGAGCATCTGCACCAAGAGCTCCCTTAACACCATCTGCCCCTACCACCACCACGTTCCTATCCCTGTGTCCTCCTCATGGACCCATGGGTCTAAACCAGTGGTTCTCAATCTTCCTAATGTTGTAACCTTTAATACAGTTCCTCATGTTGTGGTGATCCCCAACCATAAAATTATTTTGTTGCTACTTCATAACTCTAATTTTGCTACCATTATGAATCGTAATGTAAATATCTATGTTTTCCGATGGCCTTAGGGGACCCCTGTGAAAGGGTCCACGACCCACAGGTTGAGAACTGCTGTCCTAAATTGTCATCCATAAGGACCCCTGCATATTCGGTCTGTGTAAGGCCAGCTAAAACAGAGAGCCTAGGGAGCACAGTCCAGAAAGGCTGAGCAAAGCAACACAGGTCCCTCCCTCCTGAGCCGCTGAGCCCTTCAGTTTCCCCGGCAGTAAAGGCAGGGGATTCATTCCTGGAAAGCTTGGCTTCCTCCCTACCTAAAGCAGCCGCCCCTATGGGGGAACGTTGTTCCCCCTCTGCATTCATCCCCACGAGCCCAGACACTAAATGGGGTCTGATGGAAGGATTCCAGAAGGCCTGGGACAACGGAGCAGGAAGAGGAAGGGCTGAGAAGTCCTCGATCATCCGGGCTCGCCCCAGTCTTACTAGCCCAGAGAGCGCGCTCTGGCTGGCCACTGCACAAGCCATAGGCCGTGTGGCCCCAGGCCACACTCACACTAAAATCCAGAAGGGTCTGAGGTCTGTACTCAAACCATAGCGACAAGGCGGGGCAAGGGGAGCGCGGGGTGGGGCATGAAGACAGCGCTGGGCCTCCACCAAGGGCCTCGCGCGGGTCCCCTGCCACCAGCTGGGGCCTGGGGACAGCAGCCAGCCCAGGCCGCGCCGCCTACCTCCTCGCCGCCGTAGCGGGCCAGCTCCTCCTCCGTGAAGAGCCGCACCGGGGGCCCGCGCTCTGCGGGGCGCGGCGTCTGCCCAGCGCGGGCTGTGGCCACCGGGGTCAGAGCCAGCACCAAGGCGAGCGCCGCCAGCGGCCGCAGCCGCCACCCGGGCGCGGGGCGCGCCATGGACCGCCTGGAGCCGGCAGGAGGACGGCGGGGCGGAGCACAGTCAGCAACTAGGGAGGGGCCCTGTAAAACAGGACCCGGCCTTATTAATTACTCTCTTGGAGAATAAATCCTACTCTGTAGCCTGTAATATTCTTGAACTGGCGGTGATCCTCCTGCCTCAGCCTCCAGAAAACTGGGATTCCAGGCTGGAGGCACCAAGCCCAGATAGCTTGCTTACTTTTCTGTCCTTCCTTCCCTCCCTCCTTCCTTTCTATGGCTCCCTTCCTCTTTTCTTTTTTCTCCCTCCCTCCTTCCCTTTCTCTCCCCTCCTCTCCCCTTCTCTCCCCCCTCCTCCTCTCTCCTTCTCTCCCCTCCCCTCCTCTCCTCTTCTCTCTTCTCTTGGCTCTCCTCTTTCCAGGTTTCAGGGAACCTCCTAGCCTGGCTCTTTTGTGTTGCAACTAACTAATTTGTGACCCTGAAGAGACCATTCAGGCCAAACACGACTTGACGTCTCTGACCTCCAGGACTCTGTCTGGCTGCTCCAGCCCCTTCTCTTTCTACAGGCCTGTGTGTCAGGACCCTCTTGAAATGGAAAGATCCTTCCTGGATTTTTGCTGACCACACGTAGCTGCCAACTTCCCAGAGAGGCTACGGAGCAGTTTGTAATTGAATAGCATGCCCACCAGGCACACTGGAGTGAACCTGTACCCAGACTCTCCAGGTGCCCCAAGTGCCCTCTGCTATTCGAACCCAGACTCTTTTTTTTTGGGGGGGGGGTTTCAAGATAGGGTTTCTCTGTAGACCATGCTGGCCTTAAACTCCCAGAGATCCACCTGCCTCTGCCTTCTGAGTGCTGGGGTTAAAGGAGTGCTCCACCACTGCCGGGCTCAGACACATTTTTAAAAACACTTGGAAGCAATAGTTATCTGTAGAGAAAGTAGAAACTGGAGCTGGAGAGACTGCTTAGTGTTTAAGAGCACGGCTGCTCTTCTAGAGGACCTGAGCTCAATTCCCAGCACCTACATGGCAGCTCACAACCATCAGTAATTCCAGTGCCAGGGGACCTGACTTTCTGATCTCTGAGGGCAGCAGGCACAAGAGTGGTGCATGGACACACGTGCAGACAAAACATCCATACACATAAAATAAATAAAATAAAATAGAAATGATTTCCACTACTGTTTACTAGTACATATGTCTTAACTGTGTCTAACAGTAAAACAGAAGGGTCAGATGCAGGTCGCCGGCCACACAGGTGGCTGGAGAGGATGTGACAATAACCCAGAAACAACCCCGAGAGACCAGCCACAGGAAGGAAGGAGGTGGCGGTCACTATGAGATTCTGGTGCTGTGGGTCACCTGGCTGGAACCAGAGACACAAGATGCCTTTGGAGTAGGGTTGGAGTCTTGGGAGAGGAGCTGGAGCTTACCATCACATTCTCTCCCCTTCTCTGGACTTGCCAGTCTCAGGCAGCACTTCCTCTGGACCTGAATTCAGTGGAAACCCTGATCTAAATGCTTCCCGATGTCTCATTTATCCCCCAAGGATAAAATACCTCACCAATATCTCACCAATACCCTAGGCGTCCTTTTTCCACAATCAAGCTGGCAATCAAAATTAACCATCACAAATAGGCAGCAACAGTTTCATATCACACACAAGGTAACTGATGTACAGGAAGGTTAAATGAACTACCAAGACTCAGGGTTGGTCAGAGCAGAGCCAAGACAGAACGGGGCGTGGGGCACCTGGTTCCCGCTTTCGCTAGCTGCCGTCTGCCATCTCTGGTGGACACTGAGCGGAGGAGCAGCACCGACAACTGGGCACCCACGCCGAGGCCTCAGAAAGCAGGCATTTGGGAGTGGGTTTGCTTCCTTGGGCCGCTGTGCTGGAGGACCACAGACCCACTGTGCTGGAGGACCACAAACCTGCTGTGCTGGAGGACCACAGACCCGCTGTGCTGGAGGAACACAGACCCGCTGTACTGGAGGAACACAGACCCGCTGTACTGGAGGATCACATACTGATGATTTACAGGTATTTTCAGTCTTTTGGCCTTGTAACATGATAATGTCATCCACAACATTCATGTTTAGGAACTATGCAATCAAGTTACCAAAAAAACCTCATATCTTAAGTTTGTGGTTTTCTCTTGGGCTGGGTTCAGAGCTGTACCAGGGCACATGGCCCAGGGATGGAATGGAGACCTGAAGCCACCATGTGAATGACTGGAGCCACTTTGGCTCCCTGGGCTGTGCCCCTCCAGGCTGCTCCAGTGTGTGGTGGTTTCAGTGAGGACGCCTCCCATAGGCTCATATACTTGAATGCTTTGTCCCCAGTTGTTGGAACTGTTTGGAGAGGAGAGGTATGTCACTGGGAGTGGCCTTGAGGTTTCAAAAGATTTATAGAATTCTTAGAGCTTTCTCTCTGTCTCATGGTTGCAGATCAAGCAATATGTGAGCCTCATGGACTCTAACCTCCTAAACGAAAAGCAAATTAACTTCTTCCTTTTGTAAGCGGCCTTGCTCATGGCATTGTATCGCAGCAATCGGACCGTGAATAAGACACCTTCCATCTTCTCATCAGGACACAGGTCCTATTGGACAGGGCCCATCCCGTTCTACGTATGTCTGATTAACTCTCCAGTGACCCTGTTTCCTACAAGGTCACATTCTGAGGCACTTCTGAGCATTAAGAGGGGACATAAATTTATCACAAGGCTCTAGGACAGAGAGATAATTGATGCCATGAGACAGGGATGGCCACTTCCCTGGCCCTTAGGGAACCAGAGGGATGGAGATGGAGAAGCTAGTTTTGAAGATGGTCACTTTGTGGAGCCAGGAGGAGGAGCCAGAGCGCAAGGCTGATAATAAAGACGGTAGCATCAAGGGGTCCTCCAAGGCAGGGGAAAAATGTGCCCTCAGGAAAGGAGTTTGGGGTGCAGTGCTGCAGAGAGAACAAGGGTAAGAAGCATGAGGGATGGTGAGATGGCTCAGTGGTACGCTCCTTGCCTTGACAGCCTTACTACTGAGTCCAACCCTGGAATCACGGTGGAAGGAGCAAGCAGACCCTAAGGGGTTGTCTTCTGACATCCGTGGACACACCATGGCAAGTACACACACCACCTACCACCTCACGCATGCATACAAATGGTACATCAAGCAAACAGGAAGAGACACGAGGAAACAGGCACCTGGTTTGACAAAGCAGAAGTCACACTCTTTCGAAGCGTGACTGCTCAGGAGGGTGGGAGAAGAGGCCTTAGGGACACCAAGGGCTGAAATCCCCATTTTATGGTCCCTCTGCACTTGCACACAGATCCACAGGAATAGGAGCCCTGGGTGTCTCAGTCACTTCTGGATCCAGTGTGGTCATGGTGCGTTGTGTTTGTTAAACTGGGTTGACTCTCGCATTAGCCAGTATTCACTTCAAACGAGTCTTTGTCCAGTCTGGCTGGGGTAAATTTACCTGGTTTCTTTCAGCTGTAAAACCCTTGTGTGACACATTCAGTCAGCTACCCTTTATTGATACAGTAAGAAATGTCATTAGTTGCTTGTATTTTCGTGGATGTCTTTCTTAGGTTTCTATTGCTGTCGTAAAATATGACCAAAGGTAACTTGGGAAGGAAAAGGTTTATTTAACTTTACAGCTTCTAAATCCACCGTCTAGGGAAGTCTGGACAGGAGCTGACACAGAGGCCATGGAGGAGAGCTGCTTGCCCCTCGTGACTTGATCAACCTGCTTTCCTAGAGAAACCAGGACCACCAGCGCAGGGCGGCAGTGCCCAAATGAGCCGGGCCCTCCCACACCCCTCTTCAATCAAGAAAATACAACACAGGTTTGCCCACAGGCCCATCTGGGGGGCCAGGTATTCGGCTGAAGTTCCCTCCTCCAAAATGACTCTGGCTTGTGTCAAATTGACATAAAAAACAACAAGTGCTGTGAGCTCTTCTTAAGTGAGATGGCTGAGCCAGTATTCTATTGATAAACTTAAGCAATATTTGCTGAGCCCCTACACTGTGTTAGGTGCTATACACACTGTCTAGAGCTGCTTCTCGGGCTTTGGCTATGATCAAGTGTGCATTGTCTATATACTGACTCATTTAATAGATGTAAGAGCAGAGGACCTAGGGCAGGGAGGGTGACGTAAGACAAACAAAAGAAACCCACCCCTCGCTGGTACAGGCAGGTGTTGAGGATGGTTAGGCTTTTATCAAAGATCTGCTGAGTTCTTAAGTGTTCCTTCTGATGGTCATTTCTGGTGTATATACATAAAGCAAAGGCATTTATGGGGTGGGGTGAGGGATGCCATAACCAGACCTGGATGGGCTGTCCTGGCTGTCCTAGGCAGAAAGACCGCCAGTTAGACTACCTTACGGCAGCGCCAGCCATTCTGAACACGCCACAGGAGCCTTAGAAATCTATCCAGCTATTGCAACCCATTGCTTTGGCTCTTGAAGGTGGAACCTCAGCCAGGGTTGCTTCCCAGGCCGTCACAAACTACTCGTCATCACAAGCCTGTGGAGCTCTAGGTAACCGACAAACATTTCTACTTAGGCCAGATGAAGGGCATTCACTCATCTGGTGGCCTAGCAGGGTGATGCGTGATTGGTGAAAATGCAAACCCTCATTTGCATGTGAAGTTTCCTGTGATTGGTACCACCCTGTTGTAGAACATTATTTTAAGGTGTGTTACATTTGTTTATGCTCTGGAACATTGTTTAAGGATGTAAAGATGTGTTGTTTTTGTTTATGCTGTATTTGTTTAACTCTGTGAAGCTGTGACTCTTTGCCTGTCTAAAACACCTGACTAAGAAAGCGCTGAATGGCCAATAGCAAGGCAGGATCAGGGATAGGCAGGGCTGGCAGCTAGAGAGGATAAACGGAGGAGGAGGGGACACTAGGGATAAGCCATCAGCCAGCCACCTAGTAAGTGTGAAAGTAAGATACAGAAGTGAGAAGGGGAAAAGCCTGGGTGTAAAAGTTAGATGGCTCAGGAGTTGGAACACGGGCTGCTGCCAAGGCTGGGGATCCCTGCCTTACTGTGTCTAATAAGAGATGTAACATTGTAGAGTGTAGAGTCCTGGTACCTAGGTGTATGTAAGAGCTACAGGTATGTGTAACAGGGCCCTATAGCTAAGGATCCTGTTACCAGAGGCTTGGGTGGGAGCTGTAACACTAGAGGGCGCCACTTGCTACGGCTCTCGCTAGTAGACCTTCCAAAGAGAACATACGGAGATCCAGGATTCTCTGGTGTGGTTGGTGCCGCTATGCTTGCCACTGAGAGGGGAAGGAGTCAAATGCCATGAGTAGGTTGGGGGCGGGGCTGCCAAGCTGCAGGGGGCACAGAGCAATGCTCGCTGAGATTTAATAAGCAGCCTCTGCTTCACAGCTGAGTGGCTCTAGGCAGTGAGAAGAAGAAGATGTGGTTCTCAAGTCCTCCCAGTTACAGCACAAACATTCCACCCCCCCCCCCCATTTAGAGCTTGTGGCTCAAGGCTGAACAGGTATGTGGGTGTCTCTTACAAGGTACTGTGAAACTACGCTGTTGGCCACGATGGTAGACAAAGGAGGGCTTGGAACATGGCAAAAATCGAGGGTGAGGGGCAAAGTCCGACTTCCAAGTGTGCAACTTGAAAATCAAGGAGCCAGCTGAAGAGGACCTGGGTTTGGTTCCCAGCATACATAGGAGGCTGTCATGTGTGTGATGCCCCTTTCTGACCTCCCTGGGCACCTGCACACAGGAGGCGCGCGCGCACGCGCACGCACACACACACACACACACACACACACACACAAATACATATACATAAATCTTTTTTTTAAAAGTTTAAAGATGATATGAAGGAGAAAGGTATGACCCTAGGACTTGGGAAGCTGAGACACAGTTACTGCCTATGAATTCGAAGCCAGCTTGATCTACAAGGTGAGAGATTGTCTCTCCCTCCCCCGCCCCTGGGAATTTTGTTAGTCCTGTCCCAGATGCAATAACGTCTTGATCACCACTCCCTCCCTATCCTTTCTGATACAAGGTATCCCCAGTACCTCAGTTTCATAATCTGTAACAAGAACGTTCCCATTGCAGGATGCCTGGAAGGATCGAGACATAAGTGCACGGAGAACTTGGTAATACAGGGCTCTCTGGACATTTATTCCCATTTTAAACCACAAGGCCAAGTTTCCTCTTCCCGTTACTGTGCACTCCGACCCAGCTGACCTGGACCCCGTGCCACGCTGCACTCAGGCACTCGGTTCCTCTGCCTGACAAAGAGAGGAAGTGTATGACTCGTGCTTGCCTCTCTGGCAGGAGGTAGAGCCCAACTGATTCTTCTCGTAGCCTCTCCCCGGCACACAGAACTACATCTCCCAGCGTCGCCCGCGCGGGCCCGGCGGCAGCAGGAGGCGCGCATGCGCCGAGCGCCGCCACGCCTGGTCTCCGGCCGTAGACGCGAGCCGATCTGGCTTAGAGGAACGGGCACATCACGGAGCGCGCGCCTCCGCTGCGTTGCGGTCCCGGGTGAGCCTCCGCGGGTTTAGTGCCATGATCCGACAGGACCTCTCCACATCCTACCAGGAGGTGCGAGCCAGGCGGGCGTGGGGGTCGGGCAGGGCATCGCGACCCCCGCGCAGGTGGATGATTGGTACTCCGTGGCGGGCGTGCGGGCTCTGCAGCAGGTGGAGCCGCTGCGTGGTCCCCGCACGCGAGACGACCGGGCCTCTGGCCTCGGGCTATGGGAAAAGCACGTAGCCGGCCGCTCCTTCGCGGCTCCCCGCCGCCTCCACGGCCCCACAACTCTTTGTCTGTCGCCCGAGCCTCGGGCTTCCCATAGTAGAGCCGCGCTCGCTCCGTGTCCCTGTGTTTCTCTGGCTTGGGACTGCCCCGGCCCTGCCCTGGGTGTCTCCCCGCGGCGCCGGCTCCGCATCCTAGGCCGTCTGCCACCACTCTCCAGGTTTGCTCAAGGCGGTGCAACCGCCCCACACCGTTAGACCTTATCCCACCCGAGCAGCCCAAGCTTCTCAGCAGGTTTCCACAGCCCAGCAGCTGGTCTTTGTAACCATTTCCACCTATGGAGGCTCACGGTCTCCACACGAGTTGGCAGAGTGCTGAGCTCAGCGCCCGGTTGAGTTAGTGACCCCGAGTGAATAACAGGATGTTATCAACTCCTGTTTCTGGGGAGTTGGGGGGGTGGGGTGGGGTCTTGGTTTCCGAGGACCGCGGCTCAGCCACACATGGCCTGTATCTCCTTACTTAGCAGGGCTTCTAAGATAATTTATTGAAGTCCAGGCTGCTGCCCTGTTTGCAGAGCAAGGCCACAGGTGGAATCTCGTGTTCACTGGAGTCATGCCCAATGAGTAGAAGGCTCTAGAAGGGGCCCCTCACTTTACCATCTTCAGGTGTGTTTTGAATTTCCTCCAGGCTGCTGCCCTGTTTGCAGAGCAAGGCCACAGGTGGAATCGGGTGTTCACTGGAGTCATGCCTAATGAGTAGAAGGCTCTAGAAGGGTCCCCTCACTTTACCATCTTCAGGTGTGTTTTGAACTTCCAGGAAGACTGCCTAGAGATTGGCCCGCGTCTTTCTTGCCTGGATTGTTTTGAGAATGGACCTGACTCTGGGTGTCTGCTGAGGAGAGGTTCTGGCGCTCCAGAATGGGGCATTCTGAGAATGCCGGGACAGGCAAAGGCTGCTGTGTGTCAGGCTGGTATTGAGGGGAGGGAGTGTTGCGGCCAGGCTTGGCTCCTGAAGAGTTCCAGTCTTCTGGGGACTACTATCTCTCTTGAGACTTTTTTCCCCTAAATCATCTGGGATGAATTAGCTCCCCGAGGACTGGGGATGCTCATAGCTGAGTTGGTGCAGCTTGGAGTGCTTAATCCCAGCATTTAGTAGGTGGACGCAGAAGAGTAGAAATTCAGGGTCATTCTCCAGTGTGGGGAGTTTGAAGCCAGCCTGGGTTACATGAGACCTTGTCTCAGAGGGGGGGAAAAGGTACATTGTAACCTTACTTGATAAAACCATGAGCCTGGGAAGCTATTCCTCCTCCCAGTTGGATGGAATCCTTCCAAACTGACTTCGTCTGCCTCCTTCCTAAAGCGATAGGACACTTACTCTAATCTCTATCTCAGTGCCAAGATCTCTCGCCTCTGATAGGTCAGGTGGGAACACTGATGAGGTTGTGGTTGCCTGGTACCCGGCTGCCAATCAATGCTTGTTACCTGGGCATCCTTCCTGTGTTCTGCCGTTTGCACCCACGTCTGTGGGCTTCAGTGCCTCCACACAGCTCTGGCACCAGCTTTGCCGTTCTCATCTCTCTCTGAGCAGACTCTAAGCCAGCCACATTTCCTCTTCCTCTGGGAAGTGGTTAGGACCACGGGCTTTGGAACTAGACCCGAGTGGCGCGACTCCTTCATTGACTGGCGCTGTGGCTGTGGGTGGGCGTTTCCCAGGAGATGTGTGACTCCTGTACTTGTCTTGTCTGTAAATGGAGATACTCAACTCGGGTGTATTCCCCAAATCTAGCCTGGTGAGTGTCCTTGAAGATGCCCTCGGGGGGCACGCGCTGCACGGGGCCATGTGAAGATGGGGGCTGTGGTTAGACACCAGGCTCAGCTATAAGCAGAGAATGCCAGGGGTTGCTGGCTGTCACCAGAAGCTAGGAGACAGGCTGGGAACTTGTCTCCCTAACTGCTCGGAGGGAGCCAGCCTCAGGCTGTGAGAGAACACAGTGACATCGGTCTCACACATCCTGTGTCATGTGGTCTTTGTGCGTGTGTGACAATTCTGTGGATGGCAGCTTCTGCTTTTTGGCCTCGAAAAGGCAAGGCTGCCCCAGCTGAGCTGCGTTTTCCCTTCCTTCTCCTTTAGCTCAGCGAGGAGTTGGACCAGGTTGTTGAGAACTCGGAGCAGGCGGACTCGCGAGACAAGGAGCCAGTCCAAGTCCAAGGTCCAGGGGTCCTGTCAGGTAAGTGGGTTTAGGGTGCTGGAGGCCCAGTCCAGGCGCCTTGCCAGCGATGGCAGTGGCAGCCTCCTCTCCCTCCCCTTGTAGTCAGTGCTGCAGCTCAAGGTCTGCTCCAGTTCTAAGTGCTACATATTTAATCAGCCTCCGGATGGGAGGCTGTGCCTGTTCAAGGTCTGCATTTTTGAGAGTGGGTTTGAACTAGTTCCTGAGGCCAAGCCAGCCTATCTCCATGACTGATGTCCTGATCACGTCTCAGAGACCTGGAGGAGAAGGGCTAGCTGGTGGGTGAGCTCACCCAGGCTTGGCCTGTTTCACAGTCTCCTTAGCCTAACTCCCTCACTTCCATCCATAGCCCAGTGATTCCTTGACGGAGGCCTATGTGTCCTAAAGCCCATCTGCCCAGCAGAGGCCACCTTTGCTGTTACAGTCTTCTTTCTGAAATTCTCAGCCATCTTTATAAAAGGCTTGTTTTTATTTATGTGTGTGTCTGCGTGAGTGTATGCCACACGCCTGTGAGCATGCCCGTGGGGACTAGAGGAGAGGGCATCAAAGTCCCTGGAGCTGGAGTTGAGGTGGATGCTGGGAAGGGGGACCTGGGTCCTCTGTAAGAGCACCAAGTGCTCTTATCCTCTGAGCCACCTCTTCAGTCACCCCCTTTAAAATTTACTTATTGTTGGGGGGCACAGGATGTGTATGTTAGGGCATGAAGGCATGGCGTGTGCATGGAAGTCAGAGACACGGGCTTCTGTGGTAGTGCTCAGGTTTGCCTTGCTACCCTTCCTCTCCTGGTTAATGCCTAATCATTCTTCGGCTCCCCGCTGACAGGATCAGGTCCCACCCTCCCATACTGCCCCTGTCCTCTGACTCCTGTTCCCTGCAGTGTTGCTGCTGCAGAGGAGGTTAGTTCCTTTGTCACCGATGTCACCAGTGAAACCTGGTGAGGGCAGGCACGGCTGGGCTGTTCTCCTTAGCCAAGGCTGGTCAGTGTGGGTGACTGGACGGAGGGAGCCCTGCCTGGTTCCAGCTCCTCGGGTGGGCGAGTGGACAGAACCCTGCCTAGTTCTAGCTCCTCAGCTGGGGTGGGTGAGTGGGGTCAGTGGATGGAGCCCCTGCTTGGTTCCAGCTTCTTGGGTGGGTGCAGGGGAGGTGAGTTCTGCTCTTTTGGTTCCTCTGTCTGGGGAGAGGAAGTCCTATGATTCTGCTTACCGCTCACTCCAAGGAAGAAGGCAAAGCGGCTCTGTTTCCCACTGCGCTTCCACCAGGCTCTGCTGTCCCCTTCCAACCTACCCACCCCCACACCACATTGAATTCTCACAAGAACGCCAACAGGTGGTGTCCTCGTTTCAGAAATGAGGACTGCAAGCTCAGGCTGCGTGGAGCACTCTGACCCCTAACTCACCTGGTGCCTTTTTTTTAACGTTTATTTATTGTGAGAGAGGGTGAGGGGTGAGCATTGTGGAAGTCGGAGGACTTCTGGGAGTCTTCCACTGTGTGGGCACCAAGAATCGAACTCAGGCTGTTGGGCTTGCAAGCGTCTTTGTTCATGAAGCCATCTTGCTGGTCTGGCTTGTCCGTATTTGTGAGGTTCACCGTGGGGCGGTTCACGGGTACAGTCTGTGATGGCTCACCATGGCGGTTAGCGCGTTGTCCTGCACATTTATCACTTGTGGTAAGGGAGCTGACAACCCCTTGTTATCTTGAAATCTGCAGCACACCAGTCCTGACCGGAAGTCCCTGCTGTGCTCCTGTCTGCTGTGTCTGACAACTTGGGGGCTCACCTCTCACATGCTCCCCCTCTTTCTGGCACCCACTGTTCTCTCTCCTCTGCTGAGGTCAGCTGTTGCAGAGTCCGTGTGAGTGAGCTCACCTTTCTGGGCTTGTGTCTGTTCTCAGGTCCATCCATGTCACAAACGGATTCAGACTTCCAGTTTAAATAAAGTCTTGTGTAGCCCAGGATGGCCTTGAACTCTCTGAGGTTGGCAGTAATTTTTAGTCCTACCCTGACTGAGATCTTGGTTTGTCTACATAAGTATGTGGAATGTCTTCTCTGTGGTTCTCTTCTGATTGGCGCTCATTCCAGGAGCGGGAACTGTTGAGTCGGCCAGTGAACTTCTAGACTGTTATCTTGTAACGATCTACTCAGAGGAGAGTGACCAACAGCCTATGGCCCAGTTTCCCTCGCTGGCCTCACCCTTTCCAACCTCTCAGGACCAGCCTTGTGTGATCATTTCTAAATTTCTGAGCCTCCAGACTTGGCTTGCCACAGTTGGGTCTGCTGGGTTCCTGCAGATCCAAGCCACTCCTGTCTCACCGTGGCCTGGAGCTCACTATGTGGGAAAGGCTGCCAGCGAGTCCTTGGAGAGATGCCATCTCGATGTCTCCGGCTCTGGGATTGTAAGCATGACCAAGGATCAAACTCAGGCTGTTGGGCTTGCAAGCGTCTTTGTTCATGAAGCCATCTTGTTGGTCTGGCTTGTCCGTATTTGTGAGGTTCACCGTGGGGCGGTTCACGGGTACAGTCTGTGATGGCTCACCATGGCGGTTAGCGCGTTGTCCCGCACATTTATCACTTGTGGTCTTTTCACATTTACAGTCCTAAGGATTGGGCTTAGACCCACCTGCTTAATTGACTGAGCCATCTTCCCAGCCCTGGACCTTGAGATTGCTTCCAGTTCTTGGCGTCTGTGACCCAGCCTGCAGCAGATACATACACCCTGGTTTTGTCTTCTCTGGGCACATTGGTGTATCACTGGATCGCATATATTTTAATATTTTCATGTTTTCTGAGACAATGTCTGATGTATGTGGGGAAGGTGGCCTTAGCTCCCCATCTTCCTGCTGCACCTCCTGAGTGACCAGTGACATCCCCAGCCCTGTGCTTTTCCCTTGGCCTCTATTCTGTTTATGTGTTCTCTGATCTCTGGTGACTCTTTTCCTAACGTTGGATTTTGTTCTTTTAATTTTTTAAAAAGAAATTCATTGTTTCATCAACGTAAAGTTTTGTTTTTATTTATGTGAATATACATGTGTCTGTGAGGATGTGCACATGTATGTGGGTGCCTGAGAAACCTGGAAGTGGGTGTTGGATCCTCTGAGCTGGAGTTACAGGTGGTTGTCTGCTCCCCTCCCCCATGTGGATGCTGGAAGTCAAATTTATCCTCTGCAAGGCCAATAAGTGCTCTTAATTGCTGAGCCATCCTCCGAGACCCTGGATTTAATTTTTGGTTCCTTGAGGGGCAGCATTAAGTTGCTTATTTAGGCTGGGCAGTGATGTCGCACACCTTTGATCCCAGCACTCAGGAGGAAGAGACAGGACAGGCTCCAAAGCTACAGAGAAAACCAGTCTCCAAAAACAAACAAATAAAAATCCCAAAATTGCTTATTTGAGATTTTTCTTAATATAAGAATGTTTTGAGATTCATTATTTTTTGGGAGGGAGTTGAGACAGAGTTTCTCTGTGTAGCTTTGGTTGTCCGGAACTCGCTCTGTAGACCAGGCTGGCTTTGAACTCACAGAGATCTGCCTGCCTCTGGGATTAAAGGCGTGCGCCATCACATGCCAGCTCTATGAATTACTTATATTTGTGTATATATGTGAGAAGCTGCCCATGGAAGCCAGAAGAGGGTGTTGGATGCCCTGAAGCTGGAGTGATAGGCAGTTGTGAGCCCCTTGAAGACAGTGCTAGGAATTGAACTTGGGTCCTCTGCAACAGCAAGTGCTTGTAACTCCTGAGCCACTCTGAGCCCTTGTCTCTATTACTGTGTTTGTGAGTGTATGCGCTTGTGCATGTATGTAGGCCAGAAGAGGGCATTGCATATCCTCCTCTGTGTATGCGCTTGTGCATGTGTGTAGGCCAGAAGAGGGCATTGCATATCCTCCTCTGTGTATGCGCTTGTGCATGTGTGTAGGCCAGAAGAGGGCATTGCCCTCCTCTACCACTGACCCTCTATCATCTGTTTCTTTGAGGCAGGGGCTCCCCTGGAGTCTGGAACTCATGTTTCTTGGCTTAGGCTAGAAGGTAGCGAGCCCAGGCAATCCTCCACCCTTAGTCTCTCAGTCTGACTTCCTCTGTGGGAACAGGACCTGGCCCTCATGATAGAGCAAGTGCCAGCTTCTCTGAGCCCCAGGTTCACTGTGTTGATGTAGATATTTGCTGTTGGGAGCTCCTTGTTGACCCAGGTCACACGTCCAGGCTGGCCTTGAGGTCTCGTGGTTGCTCGGCTTACAGGATTGGGCCACCACACTTTGACTCCCTGACTTTTATTCTTCCCACTTGAAATTTGCAGGGGACTGAGTGTGTTTCCCAGCACCTGTGTCAGGCCACTCACAATCACCTGGGAGAGCCAACGCCGCTTTCTGGCCTTCGTAGGCATCTTACCACAGCATCTAACTCACCTCCCGCAAAAGAAAAGGTTTAAATTTTGGAAGCTGGTCCTTTGTGTCACAGTAATGGAGTATTTTGAATTCAGTCATGAATTTACCCCTCCTAAAGAGTTAACCGGTGTGTGTTCCTGATATAATTATATTTTCCCCATGCTTCCAGCTGGAACAGTCCATCCATCCCTGTTTCTTACCGGGCCAGTGATGAGGAACCCTCCAGCTTTGCTTGGAAGCACCCTTCTCCCATTTCTGAGATGCTCTGTCACTGAGGGGGCAGTTCTTGGCTGGGCTGCTTTCTCCCTGCCTGATGACCTCTGGGAAATCAGTGACTGTACCTTCCTTACCCCCTTTCTGGCTTTAAATTCCTCTCTTCTCTCTCCCTCCCCCCTCTTCTTCCTCTTCTCCCTTTCTCTCTTTTTACCCATCCTTTCATCCTTCATCCATCTTTTTTTTTTTTTTTTTTTTTTTTTGAGATGTGATCTTCCTCTAGTCCAGGTTGGCCTTGGTCTTGTGATCCCCCACCTCAGCCTCCCCAGGCTGGGATGATAGTCTTGCACCTCTGCCTCTGGCTCCAGTTCTCCTTATCTCTGTCTGGACAGCTCCTAAGAATGTCTTGAAAGGGAGCTCTTTGCACTGGCTAGAACTTGAGTCCACACCTTACTTGATGGCTGTTAGCTGTTATAAATAATGCTCTCTGTGCCTTCCTGCATCCCTTCCTCTTCTGCAGTGTCTACTGTGTGGCTCTCTGTTTGATGGCTTTCCATGGATGCCGCGGCTTTCCCTGCACTTCCGCTCTGTCTGCAGCTGGCTTATTTCAGTGACCTGACTTCAAGTCTAGAATTTCTGCTTGGTCTAGTCTGCTATTGCTGTTGCAGATATTAGTTGTATTTTTGATTCATTGGCATCTTGATTTCTCACGTTTTTTTTTTTCTTTCCTTTTTTGGTGTTTTTTGAGATAGTTTCTCAGTATAACCCTGGCTATCCAGGAACTCTCCCTGTAGAACAGGCTGGACTCGCTTGCCTGCCTCTGCCTCCCAACTCCTGGAATTAAAGGTGTGTGCCACCATGCCTGACTTCATCCTCATCTCTCTCTCTTTCTCAGATTTATGTCTTTTATGTATCTGAGTGCTGTAACATTTGCATGCCAGAAGAGGGCTCCAGATCCCATTATAGATGGTTGTGAGTCACTTCTGGTTGCTGGGAGTTGAGCTCAAGACTGGAGGAGCAGCCAGTGCTCTTAGCCAGGAGGCAGAACCACCTCTCATTTCTTACTGGCCGAGTCTTTCCTCCCGAGCACGCGCCCGCTCTGGTGTCGTTGAGGACTTGCTTGCTCCCTCTCACTGTGTTTTCTCAGTTCTTACTTGGAATTCCTTTCTGTGCATTCCACTGCGTCTCTGGAGAATTACTGTGCTTTGTAGTCTCAGTTCTTGCTGTTGGGTGTGTTTTCAGTACATGCAGGAACTATGTCTTACCTGTGTCTGCCCCACTGCCTTTCCCGGCCTGAACTGACCACTGATGTGCTGTCAGATTGACTCTTTAATCCCACATCGGATCATGAGGGGCTTGTTTTGTGAATCTACTTCACACAGCGCCAGGTTGTCTAGTTCCATCAGCTTCTGCAAATATATAAATGTCATTTTTCTCTGTGTGTGGGATAGGTGTGCACATGTTCATGTGTGAGCTGTATATGTCTGCGCACACGAGTGTGCATGTGGAGGCCAGCAGTGAACTAATCCAGAAGATGAAATGGCAGAAATGGCAGAGAACCTGGTAGCCACATAGTCACAGAGCTTGGCGCTACGGCAGTCCCCTCTGGTGCAGGAGCCTGGAAGCTTCCTGGAGAGCTGCTGGCCTTCTCTCTAAATTGGAAGGCCTGGGAAGCTGGAGTTAGGCCTTAGCAGGGCCTTGCAGGACTCACTCAGGAAACAGCTAAGAGGGCAGGGCACACTGCTTTCTCCTGGGGACACTTTCTATCTGGGTGGCCCATTGGCAGACTGCGGGTCCTCCCGCCTGGGTCCTCCCGGCCTCTCTGGAAAACCCCTGTCTCCAGAGGTGTGTGTCTCCTGGGCAGGTGGGAGGAGACCAGGCAGCACTGCTGTAGATTCTGGGCGCTGCCATGGCTCTGAAGTACTTTTGTCTGGGCGGGTAGGTACCTCAGAGACTCTGCGGCCCTGTCTTTTCATGCTGCTAGTTGGAATCAGCCATTTCTCTTCCTACATCAGCTCTGCTTCCCCCAAGCCCTCAGGATATTCAGCCAGTGACTTGCACAGAATTAGGGATCTCCCCTCTCTGGGACTCCCCTACTTTCAGGATTTCCCCTTCACTTGAGCCCTGAACTCTGTCACCCTGAACCATGTCATTAGGAGGTTGGTATGAACCTTCAGGCAAACAGTTAACAGTTAGGCAACTCTGCATCTCAATGATCATTCTTTTTCTTTTTTAAAAATCTATTAAAAAAAAAAAACCAACTATCCTTTCTTATTTTACATACCAGTCCCGGTTTCCACTCCCTCCCATTCCCTCCACGTTCCTCCCCACCATACCCACCATTCAGTCTTCAGAGAGGGGAGTCAACAAAGACTAGCACATTGCTTTGAGGAAGGACCAAGGCCCTCCCACTATATCTAGACTGAGCAAGGAATCCCTTCAAAGAGAATGAGTTATCTTGATTGAGAGAGCCATGGGGCTAGCAAGAAACCTGACACTAGAGAAATTCCCTGGGATCCACAAGGATGACACCAGCTAAGACCCTAAGCAGTAGGGGAGAGGATGCTGGAACTGGCCTTGCCCTGTAGTCAGATTAATAACTATCTTAAATGTCACCATAGACCCTTCATCCAGCAACTGATGGAAACAGAGGCAGAGACCCACAGCAGAGCCCAGGGCTGAGCTCCCAAAGTCCAGTCAAAGAGTGGCAGGAGAGAGAATATGAGCAAAGAGGTCAAGACCATGATGGGGACACCCGCTGAAACAGCTTACCTGAGCTAATGGGAGCTCACCAACTCCAGCTGAAAAAGGAAGGAACCAGCCTAGGTCCAAACTAGTTCCTCTGAATGTGGGTGACAGTTGTATGGCTGGAGCAGACTGTGGGGCCACTGGCAGTGAGACCAGGATTTATCCCTCCTGCTTGGACTGTCTTTTCGTTACCCATTCTCTTTGTACGGATGCCTTGCTCACGGGCCATTCTTACCTCTAGAAGTCAAGTCCTTCCTTGCCAGCCTGTGTTCTTTAATATCTTCATTAAATTTAATACACTGCTCAGATCTTACGGTCATCATCTGAGGCAGGTGGCGTGACCACACCACTCGGTCACTGTTGGAAGTCTCAGCCACAGAGACAGCTGACCTTTCCCTCAAAACTGTGGTGTGGAATGAAGGGAAAAACACCACAGGCAGGTGAACCAGGCTGCTGTCCAAGCACCATCCTGGGTGGCTCATATCAGGAACCCACGCCTGGTGCCTGTGCCCGAGGTCAAGGCGCTGCAGCGCTGGCGTCTGGGCAGGAAGCACCTTAAAGAAGGAGGGGCTTACTTGGCTCATGGTTTGAGAGGACACCATCCATCATATTAGACATGGTAGCAGTAACAGATGGTTACTGTATGGCATCTGTATCACATAGCAGAGGGACACTCATGTCCTTGCTCAGCATGGAGACCCCAGTCAGATTAGCCACCAAGGGAAGGTTTCCTTGGGAAAGGGGATTTCTAAGTGAGCAGGGTAGAGTTGGCTATGAACTTCAGAATGGTCCCAGGAGTGGCAGATAAGAGCAGGCAGTTCAGGACTGAAAGATGGGGAAGGGAGGGCATGTGGGCCTCACTGAGGCTACCGGTAACGTCGGTGGCCTTGGAGAGGGGGGGAGGTGTGGAGGAGAGGTGAGGGCTCCAGGAGGGGGGAGCAGACCACTGCTGGCCGCTCTGGTGACTCTGCTGTCCTGCCCCAGGCGTCGACAGCGAGTCTGCCTCCAGCAGCATCCGCTTCAGCAAGGCCTGCCTGAAGAACGTCTTCTCGGTCCTGCTCATCTTCATCTACCTGCTGCTCATGGCTGTGGCTGTCTTCCTGGTCTACCAGACCATCACGGACTTCCGAGAAAAGCTCAAGCACCCCGTCATGTCTGTGTCTTACAAGGAGGTGGACCGCTACGACGCTCCAGGTAGGGCCTGCCGGGCTGGGCATCAGCGCCCCGGCTTGGGAGCTTTGCTTAGCAGACACTGTGTTCCCAGCCCAGGCAGAGTGGAGCAAGATGGAGAGTAGTTGTAGGCATGCATCTGAGAGCTAATGCCGGGCCATGGGGCACCGAGTGGGCAGGGAGGAGTGGCACTGGAGCCAGACTTTGTTAGGCACGAGGTGGGCAGCAAGTGCTTGTGGGAGGAGGAGCGGCCTGGGGTGTATACAGGAGGCAGTGGGCTGCTTAGGAGAGAGGCGAGAACTCCTGCTAGAGAGAACTCCTGCTAGAGCCGAGGCCCAGGGAATAGGGCAGCGTATTAGTTACTTTTCTGTTACTGTAACAGAACAGCAAGGCCAAGGTGACTTAAAGAAAGCATTTAATTGGCTTACAGTTTCAAAGGGTTCGAGGCTGCCATGGTGGAGCAGAGGCATGGCAGCAGGAACAGCTGGGATCTCAGCTGGAATGGAAAGCAGGCAGAGAGCAAACTGGGAACAAAACCTCAAGCCTGCCCTAGTGACACACCCGCCTCCAACGAGGCCACACCTCCTTAGTCCTTCCTAAACAGTTCCAACAACTGGGGCCCAGGTGTTCAAACACAGGAGCCCATGGGAATGTTCTCAGTGAAAGTGCCGCAGGCAGTGAGCTGCCAGGCTGCAGCAGGGCTCAGGAAGGTGGTGGGATGTGGAGGCGGGTACACACATCATGTAGGGCCTAGCCCAGAGGGCTCCAGGCCACTCTGTGTACCTATCTCTGCGTGATGGGATGGCTGACCCCTGAGGACTGTTGTCTGGCTGGCTCTGTATAGTGGCACTAGAGAAGGAGTGTGGGCTCAGACTCTGCCTGCCCTGAGTGTGCCACCTGCTCTGGCCCCAGTGACCCCAGGACATCCTGCCCACAGGCTGGTTAGAGCCAGAGCTCCCAGACATCACCCTGCAGCCGGGCTGGTCATTTCTTCTCGCCCTGGCTTTGCTGGTCTGGGCTCCTTGTGGGTTTTTCTCACAGTGTGTGCTCCCATCCTCAGCTCTTCCTCAATACCATGTGTTGTTGGCAGGGTTTCTGCTCTGGAGTCCTGGCCTGGGAGCCTGAGTTGAGAGCACACAAGACATTGTATAGTGTGTGTTCTTGAAACTCCAGCAGAGCAGAAGAGTGAGCTCTGGGGAGCCCCCCAGCCAGAGCCTTTGCAGCACCAGGCAGGTGGGCCTGCGAGGCAGCTGTGTGCCGTGAGGTGAGGGATGACCGAGGTGCCAAGTGCCCTCCATTGGGGTACATCTGTGTTTCCACCCCCTTTCCTGCTCCCATCTTGGCGCTGTCCCAAGGAGGCAGGTGTGAGACAATGTGGCGAGCCCAGGACTGTGGCATCTGACACTTGCGGTTTCTGTTTGTTCCAGGGATCGCCCTATACCCTGGTCAGGCCCAGCTGCTCAGCTGTAAGCACCATTATGAGGTCATCCCACCTCTTGCCAGCCCTGGCCAGCCAGGAGACAGGAACTGCACCACCCAGAGGATCAATTACACCCATCCCTTCTCCAATCACACCATGGTAATGCTTGTGTCTCTGGGTGGTCTGGTTAGCCACACCGCTGAGGATTATAGCCTTCCTTCTCTTACAGCCTGTACACGTGGGCCCATGGTCCTGGCGGGTGAGAGCGTGGCATATGTACCACTGGGGCTGATAACCCTCAGGGCTTCTTGCCTGGTGGGAGGTGGCGGGGCTGCAGGTGGGTCTGCCTGTGGTTAGCAGTCCCCCTGGAAATACCAGGTTCCAGGAACTGTCACCATGCCTGTGGATGGGGTCTAGGAATCCATATTTTGTGAATGTAAAGATGGTGTACTGGTGGTGAGGATGGCTGACTCCCTGCGTCACACAGGGCAGGGGTGTGGCTTTGCATTGTTGTATCCTGGCTTTTTTACTCCTCCAAGAGGGGCGGAATTGATGGGGCCATCTGAGAGCTTCCCATCAGAACAGAAGCTTCCTGGGCACAGGACGTTGGTGACTGTGGTGATTTGGATGAGAACGGCCCCCAGAGGCCCTTTATTTAGTGCTTGGTTCCTAGTTAGTGGAACCGTTTGGGAAGGATTGGGAAGTGTGGCCTTGGGGGAGGTGTGGCACTGGGGGTGGGCTTGAAGGTTTCAAAAGCTCATGCCAGGCCCAGTGGCCCTCTCTCCACGCCTGCTTTCTGTGACTTGTGGACCAGGATGTAGCTCTTAGCTGCTTATCCATCCTGCGTCCTTTGGGTGAGAGGAACCTCAAGACTAGCTGATTAGTCTCCAGGCCACCCCCTAAAGCCTGGTGAAATGATTTCTACTCTATGGAAAGCAGGAGAGGACAGATAAGGCGTGACGAAAGCCCTTCCGGTAGACCAGAAGGCCAGAGGAGCTCGTATACAGTGCAGATCACTGTTTGGAACTGGTTGGTGGAGCTGGCTGAGCAGAGAAGGCTCACAAACCAGGACAGGACAGGCAGTGCAGGCCTCTGGCCCCCAGTTCCGCGTGACTGAATGACTGGGTTTGGAGCATGGCTGACGGCTGTGGCTCCAGGACTTTGTCCTCTCCGGTTGCAGAGCTGCTGGGGAAGGTGTTTCTCTGTGTGCCAGGCCTCAGAACGACATTTGCACAGGCTGAGGGAAGGCCCTCTGCTCGGGTGTGGAGACAGAACTCCTGCAGGAACCTGAGGTGCTCCTTGCCCACAGTTGCAGAGTGCTCCCATGGGTAGAGAGTGTTGGCAAGTGGATGTGAGCACCAGGGAGACGTCTTCCCGTACTGTATTCCTGAGAATGGGCAGTTGGTGTCACTGGGCATATCCATGAGGCCAACATGAAATAGTGACCTGAATCCAGTCCAGAAGAGGGGACTGCATCTGGACTCCTGACTCCTCTTTCCCTCTGAGATGCACGATGGCACGGGGTGCAGCTGTGCCCATTCGGGGAACCCCTTCCTCTCCTCTGTGGGTGGCACACTTCCTAGGAGGCAGCTGCTCACACTCAAGACTGTTGTACTGCTATAGGAGTTCATAATTTAAATATAAAACCTATAAAATAAGGGGCCAAAAGTCAGGGTGTTTTCATGGGAAGGAAGTTAGATGCTGTCACCCCCGCCAGTTCTGAGGGACGGTTGATTTTCTTCATCAGCTCCTTCCAGCCACAAGCTGTGAACCTCAGAGGTTTCTGCCTCCCTGGCCACCTGCTCGCTGAGCAAACCCTGGTGTGATGATGTAATGAGGAGTGGGGTGGGCACTTAGGAGGCCGCAGCAGGAGGATCTTGCTTGAGGCCCGTTCAGCCTCAGCGCCACACTGAGGTTCCATCTCAGAAAAGGACATGGTGTGCCAGTGTCCCTGTGCTGAGGGAGACGAGTGTTCACAGCAGCTCTGCCGCTCCGGTGACAGCTGGCACAGCTGACTGGAAGGTTCTCGGTGACCATGGCGATGCCACCAGGGCCTGCGTTTCTGCTGCGCCGTGCAGTGGCCTCAACTACAGGCTGATCTGCGTTGCTGGACGCTTCCGTGATCACATCAGAACTGGATGTTAGCAAACTGCTCTCCTTGGATCTGCTTTCAGCTTGAGTCATCTGGGGACTGGGGCTGAGCTGGCAGGTGGGGAGGGAGCCTGTTCTCGCTGCCGTGAGCTGTTACTGTGCAGGCTCTGGCTGACTGAGGCCTCTGACTGTGACCCCCGTTGAGGGTTTTGTTAGGTCACATTGCCTACATCTTCCGGGTCTTGTTGACTTCCTGGTTTCTTGTGCTCTGGATTTTATGGTGGTTTGCCTGTAGCCAGTGATTTGCTTTCGTACAGCCAGGTCCACCCCTTTTCTAGTCTGTAGGATGGGCGCGTTCTCACTGCCTGGGTTTCCGGCCTCTCACAGGTGAAGCTCATGCTATCTCTTGGGCTTTCCTAGCTCCCATAACAATCGGTTCCCTCTGACAAAGTGCTCGCTGGTCAGAGTACGGGCTTAGCTCCTGTGTGCAAACGTGCTTCTTGATGGAGCAGCCTGACTGGCAGCCAGGGTCACATGGGCTCTGTCGCGATTGCCCAGCAGTGTTGCTCTGTGCTGTTGTCCTGTCCACGTGGTCATGGTCAGTTTCTGAGCACATGCCTGTCCCCTGGAAGGTGAGAGGTGAGGAAAGGTGAGGTGGTCTCGGGTTACTCCGTCAGTTCAGTTCCGGCTCCGAGAGCCATCCTGGGCACTTTAGTTGGACATGACAAGCTAGTTTGTGTAGAAGAGAGGTGAGCACATCCTGGAAAATCGAGGATAATGTGGGAGGAACCGTAGACACTCACTGCAGAGGATGATGCTCTTGGCAGCACAGCTCTGGCTCAGGGACCGACCAGCCATTCCTGGGCTGCATTCAGGACAGGAGCGGTCCAGGGTACAGGAAGGCAGGATGGTTGGGAGCCAGGCATATGCAGTATGCACGTGTAAGATCTAAGACATGACAGGCTATACTGGGGAGTGTTGAGGTATTGGCATGCCTTAGTAAGCCAACCCAGAAGGCATAAGAGAAAGACGAACAGCCTTCGTTCACTGTATTGAATCAAACGCCCATGTAGTAGATGACATCTGGAACAAGCTTAACTGGGACACACCAACACATGATGGGCAAGAGAAAACACCCTCACCCAGTAAAGTGTTCCGTAGCGTGGACAGCCTTTGAAAAGGGACGTGTGTCACACTCAGCTGGGCTCTAGGTGCTGTGAAGCCCCCCTCCCCCGCCGCCAGCTTTTGCATCCTCAGGCTGGAGGGTTTGGTGACAGTTCCTGGAGGCTGCTGGGTGACCTGCTGTGGGTTTGTCAGGCAGTGCTTGTGATTGAAGCCTCTATGGGGCTGTGTGAGCACTGGGGCTGCGTGAGCTGAACACTAGGGAGGCCTGTGAGCATTGGGGGAGCACAGCTCCGAGCACTAAGGCTCTGTGGGGCTGGGGGAGCACTGGGGGAGCTGCGTGAGCTGAGCACTGGGGAGGCCTGTGAGCACTGGGGGAGCACAGCCCCGAGCACTCAGTCTCTGGCTTTTGTTTTCCCCACAGCAGTCAGCCCTGATTGTCCAGGGGCCACAGGAAGTGAAGAAGCGGGAGCTGGTGTTCCTCCAGTTCCGCCTGAACCAGAGCAGCGAGGACTTCAGTGCCATTGACTACCTCCTCTTCTCCTCCTTCCAGGAGTTCATGCAAAGGTGGCTGTCCCACGTCCACAGGGCCCATCTCCTGCCATGCACTTCATACTGAACATGTAGGGTGAAGGTGGGGTACGGGAGTGACCCTGAACCTGGCGGCCCGTTACACTGGCTGCAGTTAAGCAGATGCGCACAAGGGTGCACAGTTGCTTGCCCTCCGCCTGCGGTACTATCCTGGAGAGGGCTCAGTCGGCCTGGGCTGCAGAATGGAGGGAGCTGCCTTCAGATGGTCCCTGCCCACTGACAGCTCCTGTTTTCAAACACTGGGGACAGTTTAGTGCCATCTCTGGGGCCTAAAACACTGAGTAGAAAATAGAATATTCCTGTTTGTCCCTACCTAGTCTTGATCAGCTAAGGCTCCATTTCTGTGATAAAGGATACATCACAGTGGCGGGGAGGTGACTGCCCATCTGAAGATAAAGTCACATGCTGCCTTTGCTGGCCTTCAGTATCTCCTAGCCAGCACCTTCTCTGCTTATAGCCTGCTGTCCTGCCTCCGTCCTGGAAGCCGTCAGAGGCCCGTCACCTTTCCTAAGGGTCCTGAGCCTAGCACTGCCGCTTCTGTGTTTTTACTCTCTGACAGTTCGGTCATTTTTACCCCCAGCCTCACCCCACCTAAACCCTTATTCCCTGCAGTGAGTCTGTCTACCTTCATGTCCTTTTCTGTGTAAACTGTTTTCAACTAGAATTGACTACAAGAACGTGGTTGGGACCATTGTGACTACACTATTGAAAGAAATGACAGCTTCCCTCCCAGCAACCAATATAACTCATAATCCCCCAAGATGAAGTGCTGACAAGGCCCAGTGATAAGCAGTTGTGGGGAGGGCAGTAGCTGTCGTGTCCAGAGAGGACACCTTGTTCACATTCCTCCTGTCCCCTCTTCTGCAGTGTCCAGTGTTCTGGTCTTCGGCGGGAGGGTGGTGGCAATGTTACAGCTGTCTCTTTTAGGACCAAGCACTGTTTTTGAGCCAGGGTATTACTCTGTAGCCCTGACTGTCCTGGAACCCTCCTGCCTCACCCTCCCTGGCACTAGGAGGTTGCACCCGCTCACTTGTGTGTTGCTTCTGCTGCTTGTACGGCCCCCATAGGATGCTCTTCCATCGTGGGGCCTCTCAAAGGGAGGTTGAATTCACTGAATGTGGCTTGCCATACTTTAGCCATATTTCAGGGAGCCTCTGGAAACCCAGGTGTGGGTGGCCGAGCTGGTGGGGCAGAGGCTATGAGAGGAACCAGTGTGCCCACGGTGGAGGTGCAGTGGGGGGCAAGGATCATGTTGCTACCCCCCTACTGTGGAACTGTTTGGAAACCAAATGGAGGTATAGTCAGGTTGGGCATTGCTTTTGATGCTAACTGACCAACAACCCTGGTGAGGCACCAGATTCTGGAGAGGGAACAGAGAATCCATAGTATCAGATTGTACCAGAAAAGAAAGCAGCATCACACAGGACTAGAGTTGGCTTTGGCCACATTGGGTTCCAGCTGTCAGGCCTGGATTAACTTGGACCTTCCTTCTCTCCCCAAGCTCAGACAAGGCGGGCTTCATGCAGGCTTGTGAGAGCGCCTACTCGAGCTGGAAGTTCTCAGGAGGCTTCCGCACCTGGGTCAAGATGTCACTGGTGAAGACCAAAGAGGAGGATGGGCGAGAAGCTGTTGAGTTCCGGCAAGAGGTTGTGGTTGTTTCCTTGACGTATATGATGACTTCCACACTTGGATCTGTGGTGGAGGGAGACTTTGAGGGGAAGGGTCGTAGGATGAGGATATCTTTAGTAGCCCTTGTGGAGGCTTCACGTGCTAAAAGCAGTCCAGCAGCTTGCTTGTTCCCCACAAACCCATCTCTGTGCCTGTAGGCATGGGAAGGACTTTCTGTGCCAGGGATTGTGGTGGATAAAGGGATCAGGCACAGTGGGGTGTGCTGACCTGTTAGGATGCAGATGAGCTGATCAGAAAGCTTTTGGTCCCTTGGCCCAGAGCCAGAAGTATGCTGCTACTGTAAGGCGCCTGCCCAGTCCCACGGGGTTTGGGGTGTCCTTAGTCACCGCCCTCCTGGGCAGCCCTGTAATTAATCTCGGCATTGTCTTCCTACGGCCAGTGTGAGCATCAGATCAGAGGTGGCCCTGTGCCTTTGAGCCTGTCTTCCCAAGGTTGTTCACACAGCTTCTTTCATAGTCGACTGGCTGATCTTATCATGTGTGTCTGCTAAGTATGTATAGAGCTGCCTCATCATATGGAGTGGGGGCTACACTTTGTCCCCGTAGACGTCAAGGGTTAGACTGCTTATCTCAAGTATTTTGAAATTTGGGACTTTTGAATTTGTCTTTCGTAATAGTGTGTGAGTCTTGACACCTGATGGCAAATTTTGGTGACAGTTCAGAACACTACCAGGCACTGCAGTCTTTCTGCTCCCAAAGTACTGTAAAGTCCCAGCCAGTGAACAGGTCTTATACGTGAAGCTTGACTTTCCTTCTCCTGAAGATGCCATTAGGAGAGCTAAGGTCTGCCTCCCTTCCCGCTCTTACCTCCCTGGGTCCAGGAAACGAAGGGCCCAGAAGTGCTAATTCTCTGTCTGTCCCACCCCTAGACTAGCGTGGTTAATTATATTGACCAGAGACCAGCCGCCGAGAAGAGTACACAGTTGTTCTTTGTGGTCTTCGAATGGAAAGATCCCTTCATCCAGAAGGTCCAGGATGTAAGTACTGCCAAGAGTGGTCCTTCCTCACCCATCACAAGATGTCCCGAGATGGTCTTAGTGACAGGGAAGAGAGTCCAAAGAGCGGGTCCCAGGATGGATTCTGTGAGATGGATACATTTTGCTGACTCCCGTGATCCTAAAGATTGGCCCAGGCTGTGTGCATGCGAGGGGTGAGGGCTGGAGGCTAAGACAGCTGGGGTGAAAGGAACCAGCTTATGGATGTGCGTGGGAGGCATGCTGAGGCTCTGCACGCAGAGCCACCTGCCACGAGAGCCCTTGAACCATGCGTCTCAGTAGTCCTGAAGGCAGAGGTGTGGCCACCGGGCATGTGAGAACACACCACTGAACCAGACTGACAGGTGCTGTACGAACTCTAAGTTTGGTGAGGGAGAAGACGCCGTGGAAGAGCGCTTGTCCAGCATGCATACGCACTGCACAGGGATGAGAGTATTTGATGGGGACAGTGAACAGCTGTCAGGGGCTCTGTGGGATAAACAACTTTGGCGAAAGAAAGGTTTTTGGCTGAGTGGCTGGAGAAAGTGCTGAGCTGGAAGGATGATTAAGTCCAGCTTGGACAACATCCCAGGAGGGGGAAGCAGAGGTCTCGTGGCAGAATGTGGGGACACAGCTGGAAACAGGTAACGTGGGCGGGAAGACTTTAGGGACATCTGTGTCACTTCTAGAACCAAGCCACCAAATTAAAGCTCAGTCCGAATGTCTTATACAGTTTAAGAATCTCTTGAGTTACTTCATCATGTGGAGGGAGGGGCTCAGAGGGCCCTCCAGACCAGCTGTCCACATTAAGTCTGAATGGGCTGAGGCATGTGTCTCTGTGGGTCCAGAATCCAGAGACGGAGTCAAGGTTGATGCAACCCGACACCCCCTTTTGTTTCTGCTCCCCAGATAATCACGGCCAACCCTTGGAACACCATCGCACTCCTCTGTGGGGCTTTCCTCGCGTTATTTAAAGCAGCAGAGTTTGCCAAACTAAGTGTGAAGTGGATGATCAAAATCAGGAAGCGATACCTTAAGAGAAGAGGCCAGGCAGCAAACCACATCAGCTGAGGTCGCCGTACCAGCACTCTGGACTGACGGAAGCCTTGTCCTCCCGTTGACAACCGAGCAACCAGCAATCCTGTACTCACTTGAAGGGTCCTTGCAGGGAAGGGCGGTCTTTCCAACTGGACGGTCAAACCTGGCCCAGAAGGAGGCTGTTCTGAGCCTACAGGCAAACATCCAATGAATAACCTGAAACTTATTTAAGTACTTAAATTATTAACAGACATTTTACCGCGCTGTCTAGTGCCTTGGAGGAGGGGGTTTGTGGAAAGCGGCTTCTTCCTGTCTGCCCATTAAGTAGTTAAGCTCCAGGTTAAGAGAAGTCTCCCTCTTTACTTTTTTTTTTTTTTTGTAAAGTGTAGAAGATACATCCTGTATCCACACTTCCTCCTGACCTTTATACCACCTACTGTTGTTACCTAAGAAAAGTAACAGAGCTTAGGTGAGACCTTTTTTTTTTTTTTTTAAATGTAGCCCTGGTGAACTCACTATGTAGACCAGGCCTGCCTCTGCCTTCCCACTGCTGGGAATCAAAGCCTCTGTTCCTGCTCCCAGCCTTACGTGAGACTTGAAAGGCTACTAGAAACCAGTGGTTCCATTTCTGATGGACCAAGCTGACAAAGGTCAGTTCAGTGGCCACTGCTGGCAGCAATGGCACAGATGTGTACAGTAGGCGCCTACTTAGTGTATCTCGATTTCATTAACAGGTAAATAAAGTTGGGCTAATACAAGGAATGAGTGTGAGTAAACCAACAGGCACCAATACTGGACTTGCGCGTGCTGTGACCGCCAAGCCCCAATGGCGGCATGAGTCTGGACTGACCCCTGAGGTACGTCACCACTGCTTCCAGGGAAGGTAAGCTGGACACGGATGGCAGATGGCCAGACAGATGGACACACCACACTACGAATGAGCTGCTCAGTAGGCCACTGTGTCCTTCAGAAACGCTCACCTAAAAGGGTGACCTTTAAGGCTTTGACAAATAGCACTTATATAAACCCAGACCCCATCTATTCCAGATGGTGTGGGAATATGGGTAACATTCAAAGAATTCACAATAGGCCTTGGGGAATCTGAAGGGAACTGTTCACGTGTATAAGGGCATTTTTGTCTCTAAATTTAGCAGCAAGAAACTGTTTTGGCTGAATCCCTAGAAATAAACTTGTATAATGAAATATTCACCGCTATCTTTCTATTTCATAGATGTACAAGAATTTTAGACTAAAGGTTTTTTTATAAAATGCCATTACAGTGCAAATGCGAAGCATAAACATATCAACAAGATTAAGTATGAAAGGCTTCCTAAGCGCAGTCGGTGTGCACTTCGCATGGGGAGCCCTGGTCACAAACCTCTGTAATGAACTCTGCCCCAGTGACCACAGGAGCTTCACTTTCCTGTATTGGGAAAAGTTGAGCTATGACATTTGCTTTAGGTAATTAGGAAGTATTTTTGCCTACTGACTGAGTAAAAACTCACCTGTCACTTTCTGGAAAGGCAAGCCCAGTATTCTGTGGTAGGGTTGTGCCTCGCTGTGAGCAGACTGGCCTGCAAAATCCACTGTTTGAAAATGTAGCAAAAATCACAAGCCATTGTACTGCAAGGAAGGCTTTTCCCACGTGGGTATCACAGCAGCAAGAATTCTATGCTGATTTTTAACTGGTGTTCAGTTGAAACCATGTTACAATCTCCTAGCCCTTCACAGCCCTGCTGCTGTTGTAGATTGAGTCGTCCCCACACCTGTTTTAATTAAAACTAGCTTCAATGTTAAACCTGTCCTAGGGCACAGAGATTCTTTAAAATGGTTACATTTTGATAAATGGCTAGGTTAATCCATGGACCATAAGCATCCTAATTTTAACTAGAACACATCCACAAGTTGTGATTTTTCTGTAGCTCTCTCCCAGAGAGAAAAGAGCAGATGACATAAGGCAAAATACAAACATAGACTTTATTAAATGCTGCTCAATCCCCAGTGAAGGTCTTCCATTATAAAACAGTTCCGTACAACAGCAAGGCAAGAGGTTGGAATGGTACTGATAACATGTGAGAGATACTTGACCAGGTAAGAACGTACATGGCCTCTACATAGTCAACGCATCTCCTTTCAATAAAGCCAGGCAGTGACAGCTAGCAGTCTGCATCACACCGTGGGACTCAGAGCCTCCAGCCTTGGAGAGGAGAGGAATGAAGGAGAGGTGAGCCTAGGGTCCACCCACTGACGCTACTTTGTTACACTCTGGGGTGCTGAAGAGGATATTTGGGAACATAATTTTGGTTTGGTTTACTTTTCCCCCAGCTTTTTAATACTTTGTGCTTCAGAAGCCTGGAAACTTAGGTGTGCAGACCCCAGAGTACGGCAGTATCTTTAAGAGGTTGGGCTTTTATCCCGCCATCTCTCTGGGAGAGGGAAGGACACCGCCCCCGTTATCTTACGGAAGTGCTTTCCCCAGGTGTTTGTGGAAGCACGGAGGACGACTTGCTCTGTGTGCAGCGCGCTTCCCACCACTCCCACAATCAACCACCTCACTGTAACAGACGGTAAGTGACAATCGATGATTAGACAGGTTACAATATACTGTGGCCACAATCAGCACAGGGCTATGTTTAGTCCGACTTCTTTCGCTTACGCTCGCCAGGTAAAACTGGCCTCCTAATTGTATTATACTGATGAGGTTGCTTTGAAGTTTTATACATCCCAGAAGATGGACAAAAGCCCGCCCAGCAGAGGGCGCTGCTCTTATTTGGCACTTGTATTGCAGCCAAGGAGACCGTGCATGTTGTATGCGCTGTCCTGTTTCTCGAGAGCCGTCTTTAGCTTCAGCTTTTCAGGTTTTTTTCCACAGTTCTTCACGTTCCAATTCTTTCTTTTTCTCTCTGAGGAGACACCAACAGTTTATCAGAAGCTCGAGGTAGTGAAGAATGTGGAACAGGTTGTTTTGTCACCCTCCCATGTGGCTGGAGATGTATGTGACCACACATGGGATTGATTTACCATCGTCACTAGAGCAGCTCTAGGTCAAAATAACCCTCGGGCCCCTCTTTCCAGACCCATAGAATGGCAACCTCTACCCACCCATCAGATTATGGTCAATTTGGGCTCAGGCCATATACACGTAACATGGGATTTAATTTCCGCAGCTCATTTTAAAGAAGTTGGTGTCTTACACCAACAGTCACACGACCAATGTAGTCTCCTACGCACCCTCCTTCTGGGCTCAGACTGTACTTATTTCTATCTGAACTTTGTGGGGTTTTGCTTGTTTGACAGAGGGTCTCGAGTATACAGTCCTGTCCTCAGAGTCACAGAGATCCCTGCCTATACCACCCGAGTCCTGGGATTAAAGGCAGGATCCACTATGCCCTGGTAAACTGTTGAGAAGAATGCATTCAGTAAGTTATTGGAGGGCTGGATCTTGGAGTAGTCACTGCCCACCTTATATGAGGAGAATCCCCTACAATACAGCACAAGGAACACCAGGTAACTGTCCCCTAAGCCAGAGCCATGACAGTGTGCTAACCTCAGCACCACTTGCTGACAATCCACAGCACTGGAACCACAGGCTGTTGTAAATTACAGTGTACGTGCGACTAGCTTAAGGTTCAGTAGAGATCAACAGAAGACCACAATCTAACCATCAGGGGAGTCATGCCAGGCTTAATAAATTCATAAAACATTCCTTTACCAGCAACAGCTTTAGTGCTCAGGTTTACCTTGCAAAGCCTAGTGCATGCCCCATAGATCTGACAGCTCTGAGAACCACCTAGTGTATGTACCATAGATCCAACAGCTCTGAGAACTGCATAACACTGAATCACAAATGTTTCAAGTACCTCTGTCTCTCGGCTTTGTAGGAACTAGTAAGATCACCAAAAAGCTTGTCGTTCGTCTCCATCAGGGTTTTCAGCACGTTATACACAAGTGCTACGATGGTCCTGAAGGAAAGAAGCCAGTTGTGGTTAAAGGCCAGCAGCTGGGAAACTACACTTTTCTCTCTGGATTGGGCTGGTATAGCTGAACGCACAGTTAAGTCACACAAGCCAGAGGTGCAAGTATGATCTGATTGCTAAGCTTATATCCATCCTGTTATGCTCAGGTTTAACATAGCTAAGGATGTTCTGATTCCCTTCATCTGAAACCCTGGATAGCAAGATAAAAATGTCACACGTGTTAGACTGTATAGTCTTCAGTTCCTAGCTTGGGGAGGCCAGGAACAAGCTCAGCCACATATTTCTGCAGGACAGCCAGACCACGCTTTGGTAAGACTATTTGCTGAGGAACATTCACGTATAACTTTAATGTCTAAAACTGTGACATTAGGGGGCTGGAGAGATGGCTCAGAGGTTAAGAGCATTGCCTGCTCTTCCAAAGGTCCTGAGTTCAATTCCCAGCAACCACATGGTGGCTCACAACCATCTGTAATGAGGTCTGGTGCCCTCTTCTGGCCTGCAGGCATAAACACAGACAGAACATTGTATACATAATAAATAAATAAAACTGTGACATTAGCCTGCAGTACAGGTTTCAAATGGTTAAAAAAACAATACTTGAGTTCAAGGCCAGGGCTAGAGTATATGTTAAATTAAAAAGCAAAACAACTTACTGATTCCAGTGTTCTTTGGAAATTTTATACAAACTGGCAAACATCATCGGCAGAATTTTATCAGTATTCTCTTCAATCAAAGTAAAAATACATTCATTATTCCAGAAGTACAGTGCTCTTTCTGCAACCTACAAAAGAGATCAGAAACCTCAGAATTCACAGGGGAAAGGACAAAATCAGAACGTCACCGCAGAGGGAGGCTAATACCTGGAAGTGAGAACTGGAGACACACTTGGATATCTGCTTAAAAAGGGGCTCTTCAATTTTTTTGAATTGTGTTGGCTCAATGACGTCTAAGATTTCTTCAATTTCTCCTAAAAACATCACCTAGGTTTAAAAAAAAAAAAAAACCTGTTAAAATTTTACTCTGCTCTACAGAGCTAGTTCCAGGACAGGCTCCAAAGCTACACAGAGAAACCCTGTCTTGGAAAACCCAAATAGATTAATAAATATACGTACATGTATGTATGTATAGATACATCTATCTATTTACAGCACATGACACTAATAGAGGCTCACAGACAAGGGGCATCTGCACTGAGGCAGTGGCACAGCTCAGAGCTGCGCTCACTCATCTCCCCACTCTGGAGCAGCCGAGATTGCAGAGTGATTAAGATGCATTGTATTTTTGTCAAACCCACCTCTTTCTGACTGCATGTTTTTGGCCAAAATTTCAGCAGTCCTCTGATAACCTACAAGAAACAATCAACCAAGTTTAGAATGAACGGTCACGTGAGGTAATACTTCTCTATAATCCTGGCCCTGGAATACAGACAGCCTGCTGGCCTCCACTCGCTAACGTCGGGATCCTTACTCATTCTGAAGTAAAGCACTTAGGACTCAGGACATGAGAATTCCTACTCAGCCTTGCACCTCGGCTAATTCAGCAAATACACATGAGGGCCTGGGACATGAGACTAGGCACACGTGAGCAGATGGAGTCCCTGATTTTCATGTATAAGTGACCAATTCCAACAGAAGAAAGTGAGGTGAAGGAGGTTATCTCACAAGAAGTTTTTCAGGACTGAATACATAGCCAAGAATGACCTTGGGTTTCTGACCTGCCTCCCACTACGAGGGCCTGTGCATGCTAGGCCGCCACTCTGCAAACTGAGCTCAAGCCTCAGCTCTTTAGAGATAAAGAACAGATAATTTCCCATTATCTAAACTAATTTATATGTATAATTATTTTTTGGATGACAAGATCAAGGTACATTAAATATTAAAAGACCATATATTTCAACAAACAGGTAAAGACATTTCACTAATCCAGTAGTGCAGATACAAAAGCTAGAAATGCAAGGACGGTGCAGCTCAAAAGGGAAAACAACTGTACAGCCGCTTGCAGTTTCATGTGTGCCACAGAGCTAATTCTGATTTATCCTTAAAATTTGTTTTCAGCTGTAATACTATATGGAACTACTTTTTAAATGAAAGATGAATACCATACATATACATTTTTAAGCACCTCTCAGGTTGCTAAAATAGTTGAATCTGGCTCTGGCACCCAGTGTTTTCATGGTAAAACGTGACTGAGAAAGCAGATTCCAGTGAGGATGACCGACAGTCCAATGCCGTCTGTTAGTAAACTCAGTTCCTCATGAGAATGCTCCCTTCCCCGCCGCCCAGAAGTTGCTTCTCCTGTGTGACAGCTGATACACAGGCTGGGATGAAATGCCACAGATCAGACAAGTGCAAAGGAGGGGACTGAACACTTACAGGCTCTGTCAGTGTTGTGTCTTTCTCCAGGAACTGCACGACACAGTACGCCAGCTAAAGGGCAAAGACAAGTTTAAGAGATGTCAGAAAAGTAGCATTTAGGAAGACGGGATATTTTCACATTACACAAAATGTCACTTCAGTTTTTAGTTGCAGTATGAGATGAATATATTCATAATTGTATAACTTTTAAAGTTCTAAGTTCAACAGATTGTTAGCTCTAGACTTAGTTAACTCTAAAATACCCATTTAGTCTTCTAGTGCATATTTATGAATATGAAATATGCAGATTATTATTGTCCTCTAGGCAGTGATTGTCAACCTGTGGGCCTTGACCCTTTTGGGAGTTGCATATCAGATACTACATTACGATTCATAACAGTAGCAACAACAATAATTTTATGGTTGGGGTCACCACAACATGAACTGTATTAAAGGGTTACAGTGTCAGGAATGTTGAGACCACTGCTCTAAGGTTGACAAGGTGACCAGGACCTTTCTAATAGGCCATTAGAGTTTGATGTATAAGACTCAGGGTCACGTAGTTTAGGTGCTGGACCTAAAAAGTAAATTTCTATATCTAGCTTACAGCTGCACCAGTAGTATGGAAACAAACTCCAAGTTTGCCAAAGCAAATTCCTTACTAGACACAAAACAAACCTTTGCCTTTATACTAAACAGTTCATCTGCAACTTTCCTGATTCTTACCTGAGCGTGAAACAAAGCCAGTCCTTTCGCAGTGTGCATAGGAATAAGAACCTTCATGAGGAACTGCTTATGCTCGGCCTTCAGTG